GGTGGATGCTGTGTTTTAAAGCTCTGTAAAGGCTATGTTCCTTTGGTGTTAAACTTCCTTGTGTTAATCCGACATCCCTGCGTGCTGATAGTCAGTGAATAATTATCCTCAAAACATTCGAACTCGTGACTTTGAGTTTTAGCCAATTCCATGCTCAACGTAATTGATTCCTTAGCTATGCCTTACATATCTTTAATCAGTACATGAGACCGCTATGCTGTTTTTGAAGCCTGATGTGACTAAGAAAATAGAGAATTGTTTTTTTAGAAGGATTTGTATGGAGTCATCAGAGCATAACTGGGTTAATATCTCGGAGACAATTTGTCCCGAAATGCTAGTTTTTGGCAAGGAGGCCTCTTGGATGTTGCTCTTTTCAGAATATCCTGACAAATCCCATAATTTCACAAATTAACACCTTACTCTTACCATATTTGATTTCTTACTATTCCTCCGAATTAACAATTAATTAGTTCCACAACCACGACGCCGAAGTGTACGCTCCGTAGCGTCTTGTTAATTTATTTTTTGTTGATCCGAGTTGATCCAAGTCCAATTTTATTTTATTTTTGTTTTTTTTTGAGTTGGTCCGAGTCGATCCGAGTTGATCCGACCCGGACTGGCGGTCCGAGTTGATCCGGTCCGACTCTTGTACCTGCCTGATACAAAAAAAAACCTCGACGTAGGCTACACTTGTATGCTCTACTCAGTCACCAAACCTTGTCAGTAATAGCTCCTATTTTCCTCAAGTCAAGCCTTGAACTTGTGTGAGAAGTTCTCAGAGTTCCCATTTTTGTCCGTGTCTTCTTTATCCTCAGTATCCGAAATTTAGACCTCCAAATTAAATAGAAGGAAATATTTAAAGGAAAAGCCAGTCTTCTAACATGGCAAAGTTGTCACGTCCCTCGCACATGGACGTGCGTAACATCAGGATTCAACTGACATTCATCGGCAACTGAGTTGTTCGCTTCACTGACTACGACAGCTTACAATCAAGTCTTGAACCATAGTGTCGTCAACTGGTGAAAAACTTTGGTCATAAATTGTGCTTCTTAATTGCTCATGTACTACATCGATCGATAATTCTCTCTTTGAGTTCACGAAGCGGTCCCGGCGTTCCAAACCTGACGCTCACAGTCATCTTTTGGTGTGAACCTACCGTGAACGGCCAGTAAATAGTATCGATTTCTTACATCTGTCGTTGACCCATTTCGTTGATGTAAGCAAATGAACTCCGAGGAGAAAAGTACACGATAGTAGGTTTTTTTTCGAAGAATAGTTAATGTTTTTGAAAATACTATGTGATGTGATGTGATGTGATGTGATGTGGTGTGAAGTCATGCATCATGTGACACACACAGCAAGATATCCTCAAGCCACTTTTCAAGAAGTGGTGATTTTACGGTATTTCCGTACTCATGCGGCTTTATCCAGCAAAAAATATCCCGTTGTTATCACACAAGGACGAATTTTTATAGGTGGTGTTGTTGTAAACTCAAGCAAGGCTAATATCCTAGATGCTCTATGGGAAATTACCTTGGCTTGAGCTTGAGTTAGATTAGCCGAGGTCAAAATCGATCTGGGGGATGTACTCAAGGAAAGATTAACCGCGGCCGATTCCGCCAAGGCCTTCAAACTTTGTCAAATCCTGTTTTAAGACAAAACCGTTTATTTCGCTCCTTGTTTACCAAAGGAGATATTTTCTCACGACCCTGATTCGTTAAATATCAGGCCGGTACAACAAGCAAAAGAGTCACGCAACGGTTTGCGTCGGACGGCAGGCCAGGTTAAATAGCAGAGCTGACCTTTAGGTAACAATGAATAGTCATTGCAAGAATTTACATGGTGATGATTTTCCATTGTTAAATGATCTGTATTCCCTTCATTACAAAGATTTCTTGCAACAGAACTTACCTGTTGAATCGTTGATGTCGGCGTTGAAGTATCCGTCACATGTGCCGGGACATGTTGGTTTGCTAGGAATTCTGAGAAAACGGCATAAAATTAATTAGACGTAACCCGCGCATTCAAAGCAATCGCAAAAGACTGAAGTTCAAGCTAGATGCTTACCCGGGCAAGAACAGCACTCACTGTCTCGCTGACGGCTTGAGAAACGGCCTCGGAGTGGGAGCGCTTAAGGTCTTGATCAGCCATCACCGGACTCGACTCGGAAGGCTAAGAATTCCCGCCATTTCCATGGAATAAATTACAGTTTTGGCGCGCTGGTGAGTCATAAATTAATTGACCAGCGACGCGACAAAATCCATTTTTTACAAATAATAAATTTACACTCGGCGAGATCAAACTTCATTATTTATAAATAATGAAATTACACAAGAAGGGGAAGTTCATTATTTGCCAGCATGAAGGTTAACCTCATTATTTGCAAATAATGGATTTGCCACCACAGAGGTTAACTTCATTATATACAAATAATGGATTTACACTCGGCGAGATGAAACTTCGTGATTTATAAATACTGAATTCACAATCCAGTTTAACTTCATTATTTATAAATAATGGATTTGCCAGCATAAAGATGGACTTCAATATTTACAAATAATGAATTTACCCTGCAGGTGTAGTTCATTATTTATAAATAATGGATTGTAGTTGTCTGCCTGATTTATAAATAAAGAAACTTGTTTGATGAATATTTACCGGGGCCTAGCCGAAGGCTGGCACCGGTCATAAAATGCAACGCGTTTCTGTGTTTTCAAAGTTACATTGTTTGGGATGTATCGCTGACTGAGATATAACGCTGGCTCGTTACTTTTGAGAGTGTTCGCTGAGATATATCGCTGGTTCAGAAATTTGAAGTAAGGAGCAACAACTGTAACCATGTAAATATTAATTCGATTAGTTTGCACACGGAATGGGTTAATGCGACTATATTTACCACTTATTAATAAATGAGATCCCTGTTTATTGCAAAATATTGTTACAGTATTCATCTTAGCGATGACAAAGCTTGGTCGACTTAGAACTGTGTACACTTAACGACAAAACAAAAATCTTAACTTATCATTGCATGTGCCAAGCTTTGTTTATGCGTTTCAATACCCTACAATTCGCACTCCCTACAGGAAACTTCGTCAAATATTTTCCGACAAACAATTAAAACTCATTAGAAGTCTATCACTGCTTTGACTTATGAAGCAACAAAACAAAATATTTTCAAATAACCTTTATCACGCAATATTCAAAATGCGGGATTCCCTAACATTTTGTCTTTTCACATTATTCATTAGACGTTGATGTAGAATTTTTATGTTTTTCTCCTTGGTATTCTTAGCTACTTTGGATTCTTGTTGCTAAGAAATATCTTATTATTATGTAATCGATCTAAACACGTGAGAAAAACTGCGTAACTTGACAGCCTAGGATTGACATGTGACCTTTGCTGCAACGCAGTCATTCGTTCTAACACACTCGCCATGCGAACAAATTACTTTTTCCCTCCTCCTCCCCTTGCCCTTTCCTCTTTCCTTATTTGCATTAAACCATTGCTAGGACGTTTTTATGCCCTCACCTTTTAATACTGGACATAATTGTTTACCTTTGTGATTTAGAAGTATATTGAAATAATTCAAAGAAAATTAATTATTCATTAAATAGGCTTAGGCCAAATATTAATTCGATTAGTTTTGGAACGGAATGGTTAATGCGACTATATTTGCTACTTATCAATAAATGAGATCCCTGTGTATTGAAAAATATTGTTACAGTATTCATCCTAACGATGACAAAGCTTAGTCGCTGTTGAACTGTGTACACTACGACAAAACAAAAATCGTAACTTATTAAACTTGCATGCGCGAAACTTTGTTTGTGCGTTTCAATACCTTACAATTCGCACTCGCTACAGGAAACTTTGTCAAATATTGGCCGACAAATAATTAAGACTCATTACAAGAAAGTCTATCACTGCTTTAACTAATGAAATACCAAAAAAGACTGTTTCACATAACCTTTGTCACGCAATATTAAAGTTAGCGACATGAAAAAATTCTCAACTGTTCAAAATGGGAGGTTCCCTAACATTTTCTATAAAAAAGATTTTCATGTCGCCCGACAAACATGTTGATGAAAACGACCCTTCCTCGTGGGTTGCCAAGACAAAAGTAGCCCCGGTAAAATTCACCAAGTGATTCTTGTTATATATAATTTCTTTACAGATTGGTATTATATAGATATAAGGTTTGACAAAAAATAACGATTTACATATCATTAAGTAAGTAGCTGTTCCTTATTTATAAATAAATTTTCGACGGCTGACCATTATTTACAAATAGTGAAAAAACGACATGGATTTGCTCTAAATAATATTTTTACAAACGGCGCCCCATATGTCACGTGCTGCAAGACTCACATGACTGTCAAGATAGCCTGCGAAAACATCCGTTTCTCCTCGCTCTTCGTCGCTGGGGACGTTTCGCACGGAAGAACGCACGTCTGCCACTCAGCGATAGAAATTCCATACTGATGACGTAAAATCTGTCCGGAATCCGGTCAGAAGCGCTGATTGGTCGACGCAGCAGTTACATCGTTTTAGCTATTGTTTATGAATGACAGACAAAAGACAAAAGGCCACAAAGGTCAAATGTAAACGCGAAGAATCTCTAACAAAACCGTCAATATTTGTGGAATATTGCCTTCTCTAGAAGAAGCATTGGAGTTTTGCTAGAGCTCGTGGGCAGTTCAACACAACACTTTACCAAAAATCGACCAGAAGACACGCAACATTAGACAAATTTATATTTTAGCCTGAGTATCAGGCCTTCCTAAGGGGATAGGGGAGAGGAGATTTTTCCATCTTTCCCCTTTTCCCCCAGAAACGCCTGATACTCAGGCTATTTATATTTGGAACCCTATGACTACCGGATTTATTATGTAAACATTGATTTGCGTCATCAGTATGGAATTTCTTCCGCTGAGTCGCAGAAGTTCCTCCTTGCGATACGTCCCCAGCGACGAAGAGCGAGGAGAAACGGATTTTTTCGCAGGCTACTGTCAAGAGTGTTTTTTCGTTGTTGTATTTCGCTTTCGGCTGAGACAATTCTGCACCTTTCCGGCGTAAAATAATGACGCTTCTAAGCCGTTCCCCTCAGATTGTACTATTATTTGCTGGATTTGTTAATTTATGCCATGGTTCACTTCATTTTCTGCGTGGAAGGCCGCGTGGAGGAATGCTTCCTGCTCCTTCTGCTGATGCCATTCACGTCAAAGATCTTTCCCAAGATCAGTGGTTCACACAGAGGCTTGATCATTTTGATGATTTCAACACCAAAACATGGCAGCAAAGATACTTTTATAATGACAAATTTTTCAGAAAGCCAGACGGGCCTGTTTTTCTCTCCATCGGTGGCGAAGGTGAAGCCAACCCGATATGGTTGAAAGTTGGTGACATGATGAAAAATGCACAAGTGTTTGGTGCTTTCACTTTCCTCCTAGAACACCGCTTCTATGGCAAAAGTCATCCAACTAGGTATTTTAAATTGAGTTAAATGTCTGTAACTACCAGGACAAACCCCGCTTTATGGACACCCACAAAATACAGAAGATAGCAAAGGGTTTATGCGTGACGCGTAATAAGGCTCAAATTTAGCGCGTGACCCGTGACCAGTTATGCATGTGAAGCGTGATTTGTCTTCTAAGATGTGCAGGACTCGTGAATTATTTGTCACATTTCGTGAAAATCAACGGTAAAGGAAAGATAGATTTAACAGCGCCGTTGGTTTAGGCCCAGTTGTTCGAAGGTCGATTACTGCTTAACCCGGGGTTAAGTTTAACCCCGGTTTCTTTATCTTGTATTCAAAAGCATTTTCTTGGATAATTTTCTCTGTTATTTTTAGAGCTTCCAATCATCAACTTGTAGACGAAAAGAATTCAAACTGAAATGCTTTTTAAGTTTCAAATCTGATTTCTAATCTCGCACTAACCCTGGGTTATCTTAACCGAGCTTTGAACAACTCGGCCCAGGTTAATAATTATTATTACCTTAAGACTAGCCCTAAAAACCGTATGTTACCAGTGATTTTTGGGATCAATTTGTCCACTACATCAATTCTCGTGTTGCTTTGTTGCCACGAAGGCTACCGTCGCGAGGGTAAAAAGAAATCACATTAGGGGTGTTGTTGAATTTGAATGTAAGATGCCTGGAAACACGAATTTCCCACATTCAATTCGTGGCTGCTCGTTGATCGCCCCACTGACATTCTAATGAAAAGAGAAGTGGGGACACCCCGTTAATATAGACACTTATTGTGGCCCCCTCGGTGTCTGTGTTATTAGGGTCTGACTGTGTACCTTTTAAAGCTGTCACCTGAGAAAAAAATTGAGGTGTACTACTTAATGTTGCTGTACTTTTTGTGGTCAAGAAATGGATCCCGGAGGGTGACTCTTATACTGAAGTGAGGGTGGGATGCTCATCTTCTTGCTTAAGGGTAGAAATTGCAGATTGTAGTCTCTCTGAGGGTGTTAAGGATGGAAAGACAAACATGTTTTTACCCCAAAAGTTATAGCTGAGGGTCCTGTCTATCTATCTATCTATTTTGGTGCACCCGCACTGATTTTATAGGTCTGTCCCATTTCTGTCTGTTGGCCATGATAGGTGCAAGATCCTGTCTCGAAAGACCGCTGTCACGTCTCTCTAGTTGGTCAATAAATGTTGTTGCTTGGCACCCCCTTGAGTGTCTGCCGTGTTTTAGATCCCAAAATAGGGCTGTGTATAAGGTAAAGAAATACAGTGGAACCTTCACATGCAACCCCCTCTTGTGCGACCACCTATCCAAAAGACCAAAATTTTCCCAGTCAAAGCCAAGCAAGCAAGTAAGCTTGCGAATTAAGTTACTTTCCCAGGAAGAAAATCTACTCATCCCAGACCAACAGATAGGACTTTTTTTAGACTTTTGATTTAAACCACCATGTCCTCCTGTGTTTTGTTTAGTGATATGAGTGATGCAAGCCTCAGGTATCTTAACAGTGAACAAGCTCTTGCTGACCTGGCAGCCTTCCGTAATGCCATGACTAAGAAGTTTAACTTGACATCTAGCAAGTGGATTTCCTTTGGTGGATCCTATCCTGGGTCTCTTTCTGCTTGGTTTAGACTGAAATATCCTCATTTAGTGAATGGTTTGTATCAAGTTATTAGCCCTTTTATTCCCAATAGTGTCAAATGTAAATATTCAAGAGAAACTATCAGTTCTGCTGTTTTATTAGGCGGTAAATAAAAAAAAAAACCATTGAATTCACGGAAAGCCTTGCAAAAGTTCTGCTATTTTTCATTTGAATGGTCACATCATTGAGTTTTGTCCACAGACTCAGGAGGCCCTCTTAGAATGGGTCATAGTTAATTTTTTTTATCTCAGCCAATATTTCTTTTTCTTTAATTTTGTTTCTGGGTATGTTAATGTATGCTAATGCATTTGAAACAAAAGAAAAATAAAAAATTACCCAAGATAAAAAATTAACTACAACAGGTACCCATGCTCTTAGGCTGGATTTCAAAACCTGTTGTTTCATAAACTGAGGAGGAAGTAATATCCCTGTCGGCATTTCATTAATTCTTTTTGCACTTGTCTTCATCGCTGTCACAGTTTCAACCCATATTTATGTCCTTTGTCACCATCTCATTATTTGTCTTATGTCACTGTTTCAAGGCCATCTTGCCTGTTCTGTCAGAATTTTACCCCAACAAAGCCTCACCCAGGCAAGGTAACAGTTGAGGAGGGGAAATTGTATATGACAGGGAGGTATCCTGGAGGACAATTTTGTCTGTAGTCGCATTCAGTTTTGATGCTAGTTCTTTCAGGTAACAATTTTTAATCATTTACAGGTGCTGTTGCTTCCAGTGCTCCTGTTTTTGCCAAGCTTGACTTCACTAAATACATGGAGGTTGTAACAGCATCCCTTGGTACAACAGGACAAGACTGTGTTAAAAATGTGGCCAATGCTACTGAGAAACTCAAATCATTGCTGTCCTCTGAGCAGGGCGCAAAACAGTTGACAGAGCTGTTCTCGTGAGTATTTTTACACCCCAAGGTTTCATCTCCATCATCACTTCTTGTCGTGCCAGTAGGTGTATAAGGTCATCACGCTTTCTGACCAACACTTTCTGTCCCATTCCACCACTTTGGCTACTTCCCAGCTCTCCCCAGCCTTGTTTCTCTTTCTCTCAACAGTCCTTCTCCAAGTAGTCTTTGAACTTTGTCTCACCCTTTGACCTTCTGGTGTCCAGCCTAATGCTGAAAAACAGTTGTTGTTCACACGCTCTCTCCTGAGAATGTGAACCAACCAGTTCCGTCTTTGTCATACCTTGCAGCTTGTGTCATTGATATCTGCCATCACATCCACTCTCTTGTTTTCTTATTCTTCTCCCAGTGTTGCACTTCATCATCTCTTACATACACTGCTTCACCACTCTGCAGTGTTACTGATCCCATTCCTTTCCACCTGTCCCTACTCATCCCTAGCCCTTCAATTCCATATTCTATCATTTTCTTGGCTACTTGTCCCGCCTGTGGTACCTCCACCATGGCACCCATGTTCCAACAACCAATAGTTGTCTGTCACAAGGGGGCTACTATTGGGCTTATCAGCCTTTAAGCTTCGCACTGGATTTGTCTGAAAAGCGTCATTACACCCCCAACAGTGACACCCCCAGTTAGTGTTGTCTGATTATCAATGCTTCTACTTTCTGTAACTGTTTGTCTTTTTTTATTAGGCCGGGTTGCTAGCCCTACACCCAAATTCCAGCCTGGAGGACCATGGGGTCACTCTTTGTCTGGTCTCTACCCTTTAAACTTTTTGGCATGGGTGGCCCTACCAGGAGTACAAGACTCCTGCTGACATAGCTCTAGGGGTCATTAAGACATACAGACTGTCCCACCATGTTAAGTCGGTGACCCCATTTGCATTTCAATGTTTTTTCCATCTGACCACCTTTGCCATACTAACCCCAACACGTAGTTTTAACTCATACTTTTATATCTCATGTTAAATTAACATACTTATAAGTTTCTACTTGGTGTGGTTAAGTGCTTTGACCCTGAGGGACACCTCGACTGCCAGAGAGACAACACACCCAGTCTAGGTGGCCATAACATCCACTCTCTATCCTTGCATGCACCACTACCTTAAGCAAATATGTTTTAAGTATGTTGTAATAGCGGAGCTCCACACACGCACAAAGCATGCGCGAGCGGAGCCCCATACCTAAGAAAATTTGGTAATCTATCCATCCCAGAAATTTTGATAATCACGTGACCATACGTCCGTTTGTCCGCTTATCCGCTGAAAAGTGATTTATCCGGTGGATAAACAACCAGGCCAGGTGTACACAGAGTCAGGGTTTCAAACATCCAGCAGCACATCTATACCCAAACGTCGGTCAAGTACCTCCCTCCCACGCCTTTACCAGCTAAATTAACCCTTCCGTAGTGTAGCGAACTTATGAATAAAGCATTAACTATGATCGATGTTCTTATGACCTCAGCCTTTGTGAACCACTTGATAAAGACAATGGTGATGATGTAGCTACATTTGCACATGACTTATCTGGGAACTTTGCTGTTGTTGTTCAATACAACAAAGATAACATCGCGGTAAGTGTGATGAAATTTACAAAGACAACAACTCTTATGCACCGATCAATTCGAAACTTCAACATCCTCCAGGCGGGTGGGTAAACCCCAGGCATTTGACCATCAATAAGTACACGTAGCCAATAAAACCCTGAATTTTGGACGTCGGAAACCCAGGATGGTGGGATTTTAAGGAAACTAAAAATAGTGCTCTTGTTGTCGTTGTTGTTGTTGTTGTTGTGGTACATGTTGTCATTGTTGTTGTATTTTATTTTTCAAAGGGTGCAGTAGGAACAAAAATAACAATCGATACTTTGTGCAGTATCATGAATAACGAAGACATTGGAGATCCGTTGGCTCGTTATGCTAAAATCAACTCGCTGTTACTTCAAACATATGGACTCAAGTGTCTTGATTCGAGCTACAAGAACATGATAACAAGTTTACAAAAGACGTCTTGGACCAGCAGTGCTTCTGAAGGAGGTAAAGGAGAAAATAATTAATTATTAAATTGACAAACAGAAAACATTGATTTGATTGATTTTTTTGTTTTCTTTTTTCCCCCAGGTCGACAGTGGATGTATCAAACATGCACAGAGTTTGGGTTTTATCACACCTCAGATTCTGCTAATCAGCCATTTGGAAAGTTGTTCCCTTTAAAGTACGTAGTCAGCAAAACAAAGCCAGAGGCTTTCATAACAAAATTATTTTTTTTTATTTTTTTATGTTTTATTTTATTTTTTATTTTTTTTTATATTATATTTTATATTTTTTTATAACAAAATTATTGATTAATTAACTTTTTAAAAAAACTGGGATGAGTGTTTCTGGATTTTTTTTCCAAAGGTGCTTTGCTGTCATCCTACAACCCAGGTCAAAACATCCTGGGACTCTTGAGGAAATAGGCGTTTTAAGACGCACTTTGCTAAATCAACCCATATTCTACCCCTTGAAAAAGCTTGGGGATGTTGTTATGTGAGCCTGTTTCTACTGTTTCCCCCCCAAGCAAGCAGTGTTGATTGTGTTGAAAGAAACTTGAATGTATAACGTCAACACTACGCCGGGGGCGGAGGGGGGAGGGAAAATGCCTTATTTTGACGAGCTGTTGCGTTAGTCGCGAAAGGGTTTTGACCAGGGTTGTAGTTCCAGTTCATTTGCGCAATTTTCTCACGAAACTCGACCAGAAAACCATTTAAGTGCGAACTCGTGACGGATTTTGTTTGTTTTCTTGTTCTATAGAAACTGAAACGGATAAGTATAACACAGGGTTCGAACTTAATATTTTAGTCCACCAGAAAAGCTTTGCAGGCAAGAATTAGTAGCAAAATAAAAGTATAAAAATTTATTGAGTTCGAGCTAAAATGCGGCTCGAAAAACTTGAAGTCATTCTCCGCGCTTAAACAATGGAGTACAAACTTGCAGTTAAAATGTGCAGCAAAATTTCATCTTCCTTTTGAAATTGTTATTTGAAAAATGCTGACTCATAAATTCTTGCCAGAGGATATTCTTTTGACTCGCAAATTCTAAAAACCAGTCGCTTTTAGCGAGTTTGGGTTCATCCTCGGTGTAAAAACCTGTGAAGTTCTTCTTTGTTTTCTAGCTATTATTTTCCTTGCCTCTATAGTGTTGACTTCTTAGTGGCTTCTTTGTATTAATTGTTTTATGTCACTCGTGAGTTTCACAGGTTTTTAAACCGAAGATGATTCCGAGTCTGCGAGTTTTAAGTTTGAGCCATGACGCATTAACTTGAATAAGTTTCGACTTATCCGAATTCGCAAGAGTGAGCCTGCTCGCCGGCTAGTTTCGAGTTTAAAATGTGCCTGCTCCGTTTCCACACTAGGGACTTTGTGATCCGACGACTCGATGGCCGCGAAAACTTCGCTTAAAAAAGTGAATTTACGTTCTTCCAGTCTCGTCGCGATTATTCCCACCCATTTACTTTACCAAAAGTAGGCGAAACCCTCGCGCTGAAGTTGAATGCCAAGGATCCCTACCTAAGTGCCGAAAGAGAAATAAGATTTTGTCGTCACTTGTTTACGTCCTCTATAAAATGCAAAATTATGCAATTTCACGTCGAAATCGTGCGAAAACAGCACAGAAATATACAAAAAAGTGTAATGCACTTCCAAAGTTGCCGTTTTCCTTCTAAACCGATTGTTGTTGTTGTTTTTTTTTTTTGACGTTCTCGTTGCCATCGCGTCGTCTCATCGTTAAGTCCCTGCCTGTACGGAAAGCTCGTCACAGATGAAAAACCCGTTTTGGTTGGAATTCTGGTCTCTGGTGTGACTTCAGCCATTTACTTGATATATTCTTGCAGTGGGCTTTGTTCTGTGTCCCGTGAAAATCTAGCTACCTTTGAAAAAGACTAATGCTTTGTTTTAAATTTCATCATAGCTTTTCTATTCAACAATGTATGGATATCTTTGGACCTCAGTTTAATGCAGCGAACATTCAACGCGGCATTGATCAAACAAACACCAACTATGGAGGATACGGAATAGCTTCAAGCAAGGTGATTCATGTTAAGATTTAACTTACTCCTAGATCAAGTAATGGTGAGATTATTTGTGAAGACTTTGATGTTACTATTCAAGTGAAACGTCTTTAACAGTTCTTTCACTTGGTGCTATCTATTTAGTATGTAGTTCTAACTTTTGAGACTGTGAATGAAATCCTATGTTGTTACCATTCAAATGAAACCTCTTCAGCAGTACTTTCACGTGTTACTATTTATTTAGTATGTAGTTCTAACTTTTGTGTCTGTGGATGAAACCCTATGATGTTACCATTCAAATGAAACCTCTTCAGCAGTACTTTCACATGCTAATATTTATTTAGTCTGTAGTTCTAACATTTGAGTCTGTAGATGAAATCCTATGGTGTTACCATTTGAATGAAACCTCTTCAGCAGTACTTTCACGTGGTACTATTTGTTATTTGGGCGTCGCCCAAATAGAGTAATCGAGATGGCTTGTTTTGATTCAAAGTTGCAATAGGCAACAATACGTGCGAACTTAAAAAAGCCAAGTAAACAAGCCAAACGACGCGAATGTCTACTAAGCGATGTGTCACGACACAGCATTTATCCTCGTTACGTACGTCCCACAGATAACGCACGGCAAACAAATTTGCAATAGAAAACAAAAGTATTGAAAAAACAAGGTAGACTCACTGAAACAAACTATTAAAGAATTTAAATTTTTCCTTTGGAAAATAATTGTCCTCGCAGCACACGGCGTGAACGTTTTTTTTCTCGTACCATAGGTACCGGTCATTGCCCTTTTTCACTGTGCAGACTATTCATTGCCAGTAAAGACGTCTCGGCTCATGTAATCAGGCCCTTAGTTTTATTGCCAGATTTTACGTCCTCCCCCTTGACCTTACCGATTTTTCAAAGTCCCCCAAACATACACACAAATTTTCAGCCCCCTCCCCTCAAAATCATACCCACTTCTCTATATTAAATGAATTTTTATTATCCACGTTCTCCCCATACAAATATTATCAAAAATAATTGAAAAACAATCCTAAACAGAAGGCCTAACAACGTTCAAAAATACAAGTGTGTTTTCGACTATTGATAAGATCTTTTACAACCACCACTTCATTTCAACAGAGTATAACTACACTATCCCTTCATAACCAAATCAGCACTCCCCCAACTACCTCACTGCGACACCCCAAATCACTTTTACCTTTAAAAAATCATTTTTTGTTACTTCATATTAAATTCTAGGAGAAACCAGTTTTGCTGATTAACAAACTACAGCCATTATCTTACCAAATCCACTTGCAATATAACTCCACTCCTTCCACTTCACACATCTCAACCAACCCCTAAAATATACAACGCTACTGCACTACTCACACCCACCCACCCAACAACACTGCTTGATGTTTTGCGATGGGTACAATGTATTGCGACAGGATTTATGTAGATTGGTATTTCATGTAAGTATGTTGCTTTTGTAAATCTTAATGTCCATGACAGAACAAAATATTTATTAACGGCAGCCAATAATAATAGTTGTAAAATTATAGCCAGATGTATTAATCTTCAAAAATGTAGAAAAAAAGAAAAGGATTAATGAAAATGTAATGCTCCATGTACCATTACTTAGACTTTATTGTTACTTTAATGTAAAAGACCTTTATTGTAAACAGACCGATACGTCCTTATGGAGAGTAAGGCACAATAAAGATACTGTTTTTGTTACCCAACCAATCACTCACCCACCCACCCACTCTTAGTCATCTCACTCACCCAACTACCCACTCATCTACCTAGTCACCGTCACAAACCACTCCGTCGCCCCTCCCCCGTTACAAACCCACTTACTCACCCATTCTGAATGTCACTGGGTGAGGCTCGCCATCACCCACTGATTAACGTACACTCCCCCACTTACCTACATCTCAGCTTAACCAAATAAGTTATCGTTGGCATTTACCTGGGCTAACTGGACAATTTTAAAATCTCTAATTATGATAAGTTTATTACGTGGTTTGCCTTATCGTAATCGGTCACAGGGACTTTGTTTTACGACTCTTACTGTAAAGCATTTGTTGCAGATCGTATTTCCAAATGGTTCTATCGATCCATGGCATGCACTTGGAATAGTGAAGAATGTGTCTTCCACAGAACAAGCGATCTTCATTGAAGGTAATTTTCGAGATATACAATATATAACAAAAAACCTTTTTAAATAGCAGGGAATATGACAGGACGTCAGGGTGGAAATTCTATAGTTTATGAAGGAAGCACGTTCTTAAGTGAAGAAGATTTAAGTTCTTTCGAGTGATGTTTAGTGTTCTAGTCATTTCAAAGTATTCCATTTTGGTGCTGTTTGTAGAATTTGGGTCTCTTCAAATCTTCGAAATGCACGCCTGATCATCTTTAGTCTCTCTAATTTTACTAATTCATATTTTAACATGACATTTTCATTAATTCTTTTCAAGCAGCACTTAGGCGTTATTTTCCGCTACATATTGTCGATTCCGAGCAAATCATTGTTCACTCCAAAAAGGAAAGAGTTTGAGCTTCTCAACAATTTGCATACTCAGCACAGATGGAAGTACTATACAACAGTGCTAACGTTTCCTCTACAACATAAATTTGTTAGTAGGACTTAGAAGACTATTTTCCATTTATTTGAAAACTAAGCTGTTAGGATTCTCGAATCGCAGAAAGAACCTTTTTTCTTCATTTTGCCTACCCTTACTCTAAATTCTATTGCGCCCATCTAACACTACTTCCAGTCCTTTTATCACCCTGTCACCTACCTAACTACCTATCTACTCCCTCCTTTTCTACCAACCTAGCGACTTACCTACCTACCTACGTACCTAGTTATTATATCGAACGCCCTAAAGAACAGTTTAGCTGTTAATAAACTCTCCTAGGAACCCCACGTGCGCCTAGCCCTTACCTGCATTTTATTTTAACTTGAATCGCCTTCTAGCATTTTGAGTTCAGTTTCATTTCAACATTGTTTCTTCAAGAGCATTAAGTAGTAGTTTCCTGTCAGGAGTATCTCTTTTGCGGTCAGAAGTTTCAACCCAAAACAATGTAAGTGCGTTGTCCATTCGTTTGCTTTATTTCATTTTTGCCGTATTTCTTTTGCGCTCGCAGTATTTCTGAAGTTTTATTTTCACCTTGTATTTCATATGCTACTACATGAGAAATTTCTGCAATTTGATTGGCTTAGGGCAGTGGTATTTCAGCTTAATTTGAAATACCTACGTGTGATAAGTACAACCTTTTGCGGGTAGTAGTATAAACAAATAATAGCATGATTTGTACGTGATATTTGGCATAAATACCACTCATGATATTTCAAAACTGACTCAAATTTCACTCTCCTAACGGCTCGTGAAATTATCAATCGTGGTATTTATGCCAAATATCATTACAAATCATGCTATTACCTATACCAACCACACCAAATACAACACATTAAGGTACAATACATCTAATGTCAGTCGACTCTATTGCGTCTATGGCCTGCCATCTCGCCTATTACTGTAACCTTAAGGACTCAAATCGTATTACAGGTGTACGTCTATTTTTAGTGCTGAGCAACAAAAGAACTCGCCTTATGACAGTTATACCGGTGACTTACACTCTGTGACTGTTTATTAACGAAACTCATTGCAGCAATACATTGTACATATAAGGCTGAATTACAGAGTTCCTTGCAATCGTATAATAATATGTACACTGAATATATATAATAAATCGCAAAGCTACTTAAAAAATTACCAACTAACAACAACTAATACTTAAAAGTAATAAAATCTTGATTGTGCTTGGTTTTACAAATTTGGCGCAAGCGGGAGCTAGCTCCTGATCTCAGATGATAATTTGGCTGAACTTCTTTTCCTCCAGTTTAGGGAAAATAAAGTGTAACGGGTGGTTTTCGTTCTGTAATCTTGCAACGTAGACCTGACACAGGAGGGGACTCCTCTCTCTACCTGCCTACCTACGTACCTGCCTAGCGACTCCCTTCTTACCTACCTACCTACCGTTTGTCCTAGCGACTCCCTATCTACCTCCTTACCTACCTACATGTACCTACCTACCTACCTACCTATCTAACTGTCTACCTATCTACCTACCTACTTAGCGACTCGCTTCTTACCTACCTACATGTACCTAGTACCTTCCCACCTACTTTCCTACCTACCTTCCTACCTTCCTACCTACCCACCTACCTACCTAGCGCCTTCCTTCTTACCTACCTACATGTACCTACCTACCTAATTTCCTACCTACCTTCCTACCTGCCTACCTAGCGACTTCCTTTTTACCTACCTACCTTCCTACCTACCTACATAGCGACTTCCTTCTTACCTACTTACCTACCTACAAACGTACCTTCCTACCTACCTTAGTGACTTCCTCCTTATCTACCTACCTTCTTACCTACCTACTAACATTGTAGCTACCTACTTACCTAAGTATACTTTGCGAAACAAAATAATTACAAACTTGTGTTTATTTAGGTACCGCTCATTGTGCAAATATGTGCCCGGCAAGACCGTCAGACCCACCACAGTTAGTAGAGGTACGGCAACGAATTCAGGAACACATCAAAATGTGGCTGAACGGAGACTCCTCCATCGCCAGCTGATTGTATTTATCAAGGTTGTTCTCATTGCCAGAAATTAGGGACAAGATGGCGGTTGCGCGTGCGCACTAAGGCCACAATGGCTGCGAATTCGTATAAGAAAATGTATGGAGATAAGGAAACTTTTTCAAATATATCGATTATGAGCTCACGGGTGTTCGGTGCCCGACTCGAAACATGTTAAGTGCTGTGTAACCTTCGCATCTGGGTTAAAAATAGCTAATTAGAAGTAGGTTTACTTACTTCCCGAAGTGGCCACTTTATCTCTCGTTGTACGCTCCATTTCTCCATACATTGTCTTAAAATCTTGCCGAAGTCATGCGAAATACTCGTCGATTAGAGGATAAACCCTTCACTGAAGTAAATTTGCCCGACTCGATATTACTTCTGCGATGGAAGATGTTTCCAAAACAGTCGTTAAAAGGACGATTTTTGCGCTGTAAAATACTTCCAAAAGGCGCGTTATTTCCCTCAGTTTTCCATCTGTAGTCCAGTAATGGACGCCATAGTTGCGAATGACACATTTCGGTCGGACAAAGCTTCACAACTCCAAACCTCACCGAATCGCCATTTTGTTTGTTGCTAAAACTCCAGAGATGCTTCACGGGATATAAACTAGGTTCCAGGCATTCAAAAATCCTCGATTAGCCTACCAGGCTTGGTTTTAAAACAAAATTGTCACGAAAGGTACATCCGCGTACTGTTTTGTTGCTATCAGCCGCTCGGCCGGGTATAAACCTAACATTTTCTTGCTAGGTGTTTTATTCCAGCTTTTTCCTCGTAAAACGGATCCACAAAGCTCAAATTATTTTAAAAAATCGCAGGGGATACGCTTTCCCTGACTACGATCGTTTTTGTCCGCCATTTGGAAATGAGATTCCGCTGACAATTAATCACGGGCGCGAAATGTCCACGATTTCTGGCAATGCTTTTTTGTGATACGGTCTGAAGGCCAACGGCTTTCAATAAAAATTTTATTCATTTCAGTGGCGGATAATGATCTTCAGACTGGGGGTGGGGGTGGTCATCCAGACCCTGAGATAAGGGGGGCCCCCACTGCCTTTTATGAAGAAATTCATAGCCTGAGTTTTTGCACTTTTGTCCTCGCGAGAGATTAAAGACGTTCAAGGTTATTATTACGTTTGAGAATTCTTTATATTTTTACTTTTTTTGTAAAGCCGAATCGCCCGATACTGCTCATTTGTAACTACGTTTCGCGTTTTAGCGTTTCCCCGAAAACGCTCCCCGCTAGTGAAGTTTGATAAAGACCCCAAAAGGAAAAAATGGGGAAAAGAAGGGAAAAGAACGGGGGGAGAAGACATAGAGTGGTCTTGCGTGTCCGAACCCAAACAGCTGTATTTCTCATCACGACGAAAGAAAGCGAATATAGTTTCCGAATTCGAAACAAAGGTTTGGATAGTTTTGTTTTTTTGTTTGTTTTTTCATTTCGTCGAAGTGATATACAGTAAACTTTAACTTCGAACAGCAAAACGTGCAACGGGCGAACGGGCTACGTGAAAAATTAAGAAAGGATTTTTTTCAGCTTAGTTACAGTTGTGTTATAGCGCAATTTATATTTTTTTCAATGTTGTGTGTGTATGTATTATGATGTATGATAATGAGATTAAACAAAGGTAAAAGAAAAGGAAATAATAAATTAAACTGAACGGTAACAATTATACTCCGACAAAATGAGATAATTTGATATGTCTAGGTAAATCTAACAGCGGGGCTCCGATTTCCCTCAGAAGAAACAAGTACTTCCGTAAAAACACATAAAACTAATTCCATATTTTCCTTCAATAAGTCAAACATATGATGACGAAATGACAAATAATGAGGCAAAAGAATTCTTCGATAATTTGAACCGCTAAATTAAATTAACATAATTTTCTTACACATTTTTGGTTATCGAAGATTGCTCAAATAACGAGTTTGAAAGTCAAAAAGGGAAAAAATACGCCAAGAAGTGAATGAGAAAAGGGAGAAAATAAATAAATGGCACAGTGATAATATAGTCGTAGAATATTGTTGCCTCGCACAGGCTAGGTTGTTAATAAAATATAAAGGACACAGAAGTCACTCAGAAAAAAGAGTTATGCAAATAATCGTATGTTTTTCTAACAAACCTTTGATATTACACTGTGAATGGATCAGTCTACGCGAGAAAATATTTATTTTTTTCTATTTTTCTTCCATGTGTATTCTTAAAGGGCGTATCTTTAACCCTTACAAAGCGAAACTATTCTCTTGAAAACCTTAACACTATGAGCGCGACAGTCAGTTTGTCAAAATTGAATTATCTTTTACTTTACTACCTGGGTTAAAACCTAGTTCAAACCAGAAACGTTTCCCCTAATACTACGACAGGGCAGAAAGTCATGACGTACCTGAATTACTTGCATCGATGTCTCCTGAAACCTGTTACGAAATACTTCTTTTCTTCTCTCTGCTGTCCAAACCCTTTAGCAGCCTGTGCTTTTTCACTCTCATATCGCTCGCTTCTTTTCAAAGCTAAGTATTCTTAGATTGAAGAATATCAGAGGCAACATAAACGGCAAATTTCCCAACCAAGAAAAAAGATCAAAGGTTAAGCGACAGCGAAAAAACAATGTTAAAAAGGTTGCTACAATTAACTAAATCTTGCTAATGTACCACCTGGACGTGTAAATGACAACAGCGATTTGGCGGTACGGATATTTGGTAATGTACTGTTATAAAATCAAACGAGGTAAAAACCGAGTCAAATGAAAAGGCCGGCAAACCAGATGAAAGCTTTAAAAGCAAGGTACTCATCTGTCGTACAAGCAGTACCCACAATTTTTGCCGTCGTCTTTACATTACTTTTCCGCGTGGGGTTGCCAGGTTAAAGGAAATAACCATATTCGCCAAATTGAATATACTTATATTGATATCTTTGACGAAATGGCAAATAGTGAATGAAGGGAATTTGCCTTTTCTTTTTTTATTTCATCTATTTTTTTTTTAAATCAGATTATTCGATTTCATTGCTAGTTTTGAAGTATCGAAAATAACGTAGGAAACAGTCGGTAGATGAAACTGAAAGAAATACAGTTATTTATTATATGAAAGAAGGGCTTAACCCTTATCTTGAAAATTTTCATTTATCATCCACCCTTCACGATCGTCCTCTCGAGGATCGCGCCAGTATCAGTGAAACTGTGAAGAACGCTCGAGATAGCCAGATTTCTTGGGCGCTTGACCCCCTTCGCACGTTTTGGGAAAGTACCATAAACAAAGTTTCCATTTCGGATCATACGCTTAACTTTTTTCCTGTTGTGCCAACAAATTTGTTTCTTTATGAACGTTGCCGGTTAATCTCCCACATTCTGGGATGTTACCCTCTCTTTCCAGTTAATTTCCTTATCGAGTGTCGTGTTGATTTCCAATACCTTAATTTTATGGAGCGTTATTTTCCTATAATAAGGAATTTGACAGTAAGATGGCCAAATTTCAGCCAGATTGGTTCACGGGTTACCGACTTTTCGCTAAATATGTGCATGTACGCTCAACTTGGCCCGATTTTCATTTCGAGAAAAAAAGAAAAATGATATATTTTTGGCGGCGTCTTTCCCGCAACAAAAGAAATCTTTTTTGCTCCACAAGTCCAAGTCTAAGCAGTTGAAATTATTTTTTTTGCTAGAATTTTCTTTTTAGCGGAGCTCCACGCGCGCGAAGCGGAGCACCATGGGCAAGAAAATTTGGTAATCTACCTATCCGAGAAATTTTGGTAATCACGTGACGTACGCCCGACCTACCGCGCCGTCCATCCGCACCACAGACATACCAATGTAAAATAACTCGTCCAACTGTTATGAGGCAAGATTAGTCCTGGAGCGTGGCCAAAAACGTGACCAAGTTGCATCCTTAAAACTGTATAGATTATCATAGTTCTTTTGTCGTAAATCAAGCAAACGAAATTCAAGATCTTCACTGGAAAAACTCCATTGGCTGCCTCTCGTTGAACTGGTTAACGTTTCGCCAAGACACTGAAACGGCTTTCGTTACTTTTAGGGGACCGTCGCTTTGTAGAGGAAAAAACTTACTGGATGCACGAGCTAAATGACTGGTTTACGCGACAACATGACGAATGTATAAACCAAATATAGAATGTACAACGAGAAAAAAAAACATTAATCCTTCTTAGTTATTTTCTGTATTATAATATTATTATATTAATATATTGTAATTTTTTTTCGGTCTTTGTCGTTGAACATACGACGTTATTATTTTCGTCGCATTAAACTTGTCACTTTACTCGCCCATGACTTATATGTTTTCCTGTATAGAACGACGGTCCCCTAAAAGTAACGAAAGCCAGACAAACGTCAGCTGTAAGTCTTGGATTCCCCTTTCCCACCCTACAGAATCTACTTAGTACCTCACTGCCAGTCCTTACGGGCGGACGGGCGTGCCTGCGCACGCTGATGTTTTAAACAAATTTTCTCGCATCGATAAATTTCCATTTTCTGCAATGAAGGCTCCGCCGCTTGCACGCGGAGGCTACGCTAAAATATTTTCTGTCAAGAAATTGACTGTCATAGAAAATTCCGATGCGTGTACTTTATTTGACTGTACTTAGATTGATTTATTAAACGACAGAATTCGATACTCGTGCTATGGCGGAACAGTATTGATAACATTATCATTGTTGTTCGCACTAATTTGTTCCACGCTCTGTTGAGGACTTCGTGTTCTTGCGCATGCCCTGCCGGCAGCGTTTTGTGCTCCAAAGAAGTGAATCTAAACCTGCTCAGCCTCGGCAATGTTCACTACTGTTAAAAATTAACTTAATAAATGCTAAGCGAAACTCTCTTAGTCGGAATGAGTAAATAACAGGATTTAACAAAGAGTTCAAAAACGCCATCAATGTGGCCAAAAACAAGTATATGTACAACACTTCAGAAGAAATTTTAGTTCGATATCTTATTAAGACAGCTCTAAAGATTAGAATCGGAAAATAACACAACATCAGCACTACAATGACGATAAATGTCGCTTTGAAAGCCTTCTTATCTTTTTCAAATTGTTGTCTTGCTTTCACGGTCACTTGCTGAACTGCAATTTGGTTTTCGTGTCGGCGGATCTCCCGGTAAACTGCAATATGGCAGAAGAGGATAAAGGCGGTGCATAGACCAACGAAAGTATTCTTAAGGGGAAAAATGCAGATTTGTTAACGGCAAGTGGAATGTGAAGAGTTATGGAAAGTAGCCACGCCAAGACTGAGGCAGCAAGTAAACTCTAGTCGGCGACGAGGGTCAAGTGCGCGAACGGGCGTCTCATGGCGAGGAACCGCTCCCCACTGATCAAAGCCATGTGGATCAAAGAGGCAGAGACGCCTACGCTACACAAGACTCTTGTTAAAACTTGCAAAGCGTACGACGCACTTGAGGTTCCATCAAGTAAGATTGTTCTCATCAAAGCGACGTATAAGGGCTGTACAAGGACCCCGACAGTTAAATCTGTAGAGGCTAGCAAAGCGAGTGCAATGTTTGACTTGTGAACTCTCAGCCGAGCTTTCATTTTGACGGCGATCATCACCAGGCGCGGAGTTCATGGTTGCAGTGACAGGAGATGTAAGAATGATAACGACAATGATGATATTAAGAAAATCTTGAGTTAGAATCGAAGGTTGATGGAGTCTTCCTCCCATAACCTGGTAGACCTCAGATCCATGGGAAAGCGAAAGATCCATGGGGGATAAACTCACTGCTTGGTAGACTCGAATTCATCTTTTGTCCTGTGTCTTGTTCGTCTTTACTTCTGGTTTCCTCTACTTATGTTCCCACGGTAGAAAAATACCTTGTCTTGCCTTTATACAACAGGCAATTACCATTTTGCAACAATCTGTTTTATTTTAGTTGGTTCCAGAAATTTTCTGGTTCAACTAATAATCGTTGTGTCCGCCAAAAGTGACTCTGATAGCGCAATTTATGAACTCACTAATTGATTCTTCAACGTCTGTTGTGTTGTACTCGAGGTCGTTTATGTTAGCTCAAGGAAGCTGAAATACCTCACCTTGTTGGTTGCGATCAAGGCATTGAAGTATATCATCAGACTGGAAGATTGCCTTCTGGGGAACCGCACAGTATGGAAGCCTGTCAGAAGTCAGCATTTGGGCACACGAGGAAGGATGCTGATCAGTGATTTGTTAAAAAAATAATAAAAAGAAAAGTAATAGGTAATTGATATCTATCAGGTAGAGTCATTTAGAATTTAAGGCTAGAGATAGCCTTGAGTGAAACAAATACTTTTTAAACAGATTACTGAGCTACAGACACCCTGCTACTCAACCACTAAACCCAGTGACCCACTTACTCCCCTACCTACTTACCCTCCTCACTTACTGAATCACCCGCGGACTCCCTTACTCACTCGTTGTCTCGCTCGCTTACAGCTATATAAAGTAAATTACTGTTTGCAATTATTTGATTGGCGCGTTGGCAAGCGCCTGCTGCGCAGGCTACCGTCGGGTCCAACTGTTTTTAAACATTAAAGTCAAAAGGAAACTTCTCAAGCAACACGTTAAACCCGACAATATCCGTGCGTCGATATCTTCGCACCTCCATTCGCCAATCGGCAAAAATTGTTGACACAGTAGAACAGCCAAACACATAAAAATCTCTTGTCTTCCTCGGGATTCATCACTTAATCGTTCATGACCTCGATGAAGTTATTTTGATACGCAAATAAAGAAATCCAAAAAAATATATAAACAAACAATTACTTAAAACGCAGGCCTCGTTTATCATCTGCTTACACTCTGGAAATTTACTCAAATAAGGGCTTTCCCTGTTTATACGTGTACATAACAAATACACATTTTTCTTTTATTATAAAAAGGCTTGCCCACCCTAATTCCCTGAGGCCATTTTCATTTTCTTCACTTTATTTATTTTCAAACTGTATTCTCTACACTTTCACAAAACAAAACAAATTATTATTAATTATTAATTATTGACGATTATTTCATGGTTGATGTATTTTTAGCTGTGCTTGGACCTGAACTGCGTATATCAGTTTTTTGGGGGACGTGATTGTCTGATACCCAACGTTAGGAAACGCGAAGAACTGAGCCCTAGGAAAAATCTTGAGAGGGCTTCAAGTTTTTCTTGCGTCAGCAATATCGTTTTTAAGTGATGTTTTCGTTGCAGTCACCGTAGTGGTTGTTTAAGCTCTCTTGCAAGTAGTTGCGGATCGGCGAAAGTTTTCCGTGTACTGTGGCGATGACCTCCTTCGGCATGTCATTTAATGGTCTTGAGAAGAGAGGCCGAAAATGTCGTCTGAAGAAAGCCGTCACCTTGATAAGGGAATTAAACCTTCATCATTTACTAGAAATGCGTATGTCGCAACCTCTCGCGAAACCCGGTGTTGCGCACAAGTTGTTAAGGCAAACTCTTCTGCGAAGTTGGACGCGAAACTCGGTGTGCTCCGCCATTAAAGTTAACGGGAACCTTAATCAACGACGACGAAAACGAAAACATCACTGAAAAAATGAGTTTGCGTCCTTTCAAACTTTATCGCGTCTATTTGGAACCGCCCAATTCGTCAAATGTAGGCGACTTTTTCTGGAGTTGAATTCTTAAGGGCTTTATCCATATTCAAATAGAGAAGGGAAAATTTGTCGTAAAACGTCGCATTGGGAGGTTTCACGTCGTAGTCGTGCAGTGGACGTCAAAGAAATGTACTAAAAAGCGTGATGCACGTGCAGAGCTGTTGTTTTGCTCATAAAACCGATTGTTTTTTGACGTTGTTGTTGTCGCCGTCGTGCGTCGTCGTTGCTTAAGTTCCCTAATATCCCTGCCAGACGGGGTTGGAAACTGGATGGGTGACCAGGCGCGAATATCCCGTCGTGAGGACTCTTACTTCTTTCTCTTATATGTTGTTTATTTCTGTTTTCCTTGTCCTATTTGACTACTAAATGTGGATTGGAAAGCATATGTAGCAATACTTCGGTCGGCGGATGAAAAAAGGGAAAAAAAGGAATACAGTACACGCATTGAAGTCGGGTTCAACGGCCGGTCTATCAGAGCTGAATTGTTCCGCCGGCGGGAAAAGAGCCGAGGTAATCGTGGATTTGTCTCGGTGTAACACAAATTCGTCCCTCGAATAATCGCCCCGCTTTGAAGGAAATGTTCATGCCCATGTTCAGTATAATTTTATTTGATGTTATATTTTTTTGATTTAATGGGATAATAAAACAAAATATTTAGGGCTCGACTTCCAGTGAGCAGTATTTGAAATAATCGCCTCCCTCGAATAATCGTCGGGAAGAGAGAATGCCCTCGGCTATTATTCGAGGAACAACGGTGTATAAAGAGAAAAGTCGCGCGTGTTGCAATCGATGCATGACCTTCGGCCTTGCCCACCACGCACTTTTAATCATCATTATCATTATTATTATTATTATTATTATTATTATGATTATGGTTATGATTATGATTATTATTTGACTATGAAAAAATTCTCCCAGCAAGCTAAAAGTCGCATTTTTTCCGGAAAAAATCACTATGCGTCCCATTTGCGAAGTTATAGGTCTCTCCAACAGCAGCAGTTTACAGGGTTACGATTTCAAGGGTCAGTATTTTAGACCGACTTAGGGACTTTAGTGCTCCTGTCAGCTCATTATGATTTTTTTTAAAGCGGACCCGGATGCACAGTTATTTGTAGCCTTTACATTTACACCTCACAATATCTAATAGAACGTTTTACTGTAAGGTGCATGTTTATTTTCTTTGAGAACAGACATAAGAAAGCAAATAATAATCCTTTTCGATACTAATAACTATTAATAATTCGACTTTAACCTGCACAAACTGTGCGGTACGTGTTCAGGTGTTGTGTAGTGCATGTACTGCAAATTATAAACGTTACGACAACTTAGAACTTTTTTTAAAAAAAGGAAAACTTGGGCTAGAAAAGACGACGACTCTGTCGTTTGAAGAAAGGAGAACTCTTTCATATTAAGATAAGCTCAAGCTTACTTTTTTCAACAAAAATAGAAAGTGTAAACAAACGCATAACTTCATTTAAGCGGTATTCAGGGCACGAGTTATGGAAAAAGAGTAACTCAATGCAAAATTCTTGAATGACAAGTATTAAATACAAGGAAATGAATAGCAATTCAATGGAACATGCACAAAAATAACACTTCGGTTTTAATTCAAGAAAAGCGAGTAGCCCGTCTGAACTGTTTCTGAACTGTTTCTTGAGCTAATGTCATGAATGAACAATAGACAGATAAATTATTTCTTGAAAATTTTTATTCAGAAAGCCATTTTGCGTAACACTAACTGGATCGTGGATCCGTTCACGCAAGTAAAATCGCTCGAGAATACGTCAAAATTCAACAGAAAATCAGTTTCAAATCGGGGCACATTTTGTAGTTTTTCTTTCACCCCTATGTCAAAATGTACAAAACATTTATGAAACCTTTATAAATACAAAAATTTCCTTTTAAAAAAGTATTTTCCTTGATTATAGAGTAAAGAATGTACCTAAAATTTCTACAAAAACTTTGGTGCCTTGGTTCGCTTGGTCCAAAACAAGCCAAGTGCTCCGCCGTGAAGAAAACAAGGTGGAATTCCTCGAAGGACAATTTCGAAACGAAAAGCTTTCGTTTGTCCACAAAAACAAAACTGAGTACTCTTTTGAACTTTCCCTTTCCATTTGTGTCTTTTTTCTTTGCAATGGGGCTGCGCCGCGCTCGCGGAGGCTCCGCTATTATCAACACTATCATTATTTTTCTTATTTCATTGTTCCACGTTTTGTCGAGCTTCTCCTTCGGTTTCTTGTCCTGCCTCAATTCTGACCACAGCGTTTGGTGTTCCAAATATCTTCATCTCTCTCTGTTCAGCCTCGGCAATGTTCGCAGTTTTACAAATTAACTCAATGAACGCTACGCGAAATTCTCTTAGTCTAAATGAGTAAATAATAGGATTGAAAAAAGAGTTCAAGAACGCCATCAGTGTGGTCAAAAAGAAGCATATATACAACACTTCTAAAGAAATTTTACTTCGAAACCTTTCTAAGACAGCACTAAAGATTAGTATCGGAACATAACACAACATCAGCACTATAATGATGATAAATGTCACTTTGAATGCCTTTTTATCTTTTTCAAATTGTTTCCTTGCTTCCACGGTCACTTGCTGAGCTGCAATTTGCTTTTCGTGTCGGCGGATCTCCCGGTAAACCGTAACATGACAGAAGAGTATAAAGGCGAGGCATAGACCATAAAATGTATTATTAATGGGCATAAATACAGATCTGTTGGCGGCAAAATTGATGTAAAGAATTATGGAAAGTAGCCACGCCAAGACAGAGGCAACAAGTAGACGAGTTTCAGTTAAGAGTGCAAAGTGCGCAAAAGAATGTCTCATGGCCAGGTACCGCTCCCCGCTGATCAAAACCATATGAAAGAAAGAGGCAGAGACAACAACTCTTGACAAGGTTCTTGTGAAAACTTACAACGCGCACTTCTCACCAGAAATATCATCAGTTAAAATTGTTATCATAAGAGCGACATTTACGGGCTGTACAATGACCCCGACCACGAAATCTGTCGAAGCTAGTAAGGCGAGTGCAATTTTTGACTTGTGTTCTCTTAGGCGAGGTTTCTTTTTGACGGCGATCATTACCAGTGCGTTCAAGGCAGCAGTGAGAGGAAATGTTAGAGTGTTAACGACAATGATGATAATAAGAAAAGCTTGAGTTAGAATCGAAGGTTGATGGAGTCTTCCTCCTACAACCGCGTAGATCTCACATCCAGAGGGGATGAAATCACTGCTTGATAGACTCGAATTCATCGCTATTCCTCTGTTTCTCAGTTTCCAAGGGTTTAGGTAATACTTTCTTTCTGTCCTGTCCGTGTTAAATGTCTTTTCTTAATGATTTCCTAGCTTTATAAAAAGCAACTGGCACTTTTGGACCAGATTTGTTAATTGTTTTGAATCGTGAATTCAAAGTTTTATTTTTAATTGGTTTATCCGGGATAATATTCAGTTTAAAGCGATCGTCATCTGCGCAATTCTCTGGGTAACATAAAAAATTATCTACCCCAGTTTTTAAAGAGCATGATAACTTCCACAGCGAGCAGCTCGAGAGTTGGCCGTCGTTTTGGTAACTGCGCATTTAACTCATACAGATAGTAACCAGTAAAACCACGAAAATAAAAACTGAGTAATGTAGGAGAAATTTGTGGTTTTCTATCTGCCTATAACATAAGCTTTTCTTAAAATTTTTCTCAAGTGTGTTATTTGCCACACATTTTGCTCAATACATAGTCTGAAACAGTTGTTCCCACGTTCTTGAATGCAGTCATTTTCCCTACAATAAATGACATCCGAAATTCATTTGAAAAGGAGGAAAACTCATTTAGTTTCCTGTAGGTTATATTTCCTTTTAAATTAACGGGGAAAAATAAGGTTTACCTCATAAAATTTCTAATTTAGATCAAAAGTTCTTGGATAGAAATATCAAATTGAATTATTTGGAATGCACTGTACTTTAAACAAACGCCAACGAGACCTTTACAGACAACACAGTGTCCACACTTGTAATATTTACTTACTTCTATTTATGGAAACAAAATATGTTCAGAGACAATTAAACATATTAAGTCTGGTAAAACTACGAAGTTTATTGAAATTCCCTTTCAAACTCTCGTAAACTATGAGAGAAAATTGCCAACAAAAACACGGTACGCCAGCGGGGTGACGGCAATTCGCGTGCTTGTCCCTTTCGCATGTTACGTACATTTCTTTGGAGTTTTTGGCCTTCGAATTTTTAAGAATTTAAAGCCAGTTTTAACTTGATTCAGAATGACGAATTGACTAGTGTAAAGAAATGGTTCTTTTCTATCAAAAAAAAGCAAGAATTGCAATTTTAATTGCCATCGGTAACTGGTCCAATTAAACAGAGTTAATCCCTTAAGCCCAGCCACCTATACGCACTCTAGTGAAAAAGACTAGTACATTCACCTGTTATATTTTCACTGAAGCGATTAAAAATATATTTTCTCTTTTTTCTTTCCGTGTCTAAAGTAGGATTTTCCAAGTTCTGAATATTGGAGAAATTTAGAATCACGTTTACGGCAAACAGAACGTCAGATTTATTAACAATTTTTTTCGGATTACGAAATGAGCAGCGTTTTGAATTATCCTCATGGATAAAAAAAGGCCTGAATCTTCTTGTTCTTGTTCTTTTTATTACTATTGTCATTATTATTTTTATAATTATTATTATTAATGAACATTAGACGGCATAGAGTAGTCTATGCATCGAATTGAGTGATTAGAAGGTATGCATAATCATCGTTTACGGCAAAATGAACGTCAGATTTATTAACAATTTTTTCAGATTACGAAATGAGCAGATAAAAACCGTCTAGAATTAATGTCATGGATAAAAATGGCATAAATCTTTTTATTGTTTGGACTTCGCCTAAATAGAGCAATCGAGATGGCTTGTTTCGATTCAAAGTTACAATAGACACACAAAACGTAAAAATAAAACAGCAAGAACTGCAATTTTAAGTGCCATCGGTAAAATGGTCCAATTAAACAGAGTTAATCCCTTAAGCCCAGCAACTTATTCACTCTAGTGAAAAAGACTAGTACATTCACCAGGTATATTTTCCCTAAAGCGATTAAAAATACATTTCTTTTTTTTTATTATTTTCGTGTCTAAAGTAGGATTTTCAAAGTTCTGAATATTGGAGAAATTTAGAATCACGTTTACGGCAAACAGAACGTCAGATTTAGTAATAATTTTTTTCAGATTACGAAATGAGCAGCGTCTTATATTATCCTCATCGATAAAAATGGCATGAATCTTCTTCTTACTCTTCTTCTTAATTATTATCATTATTGTTGTTATTATCAGTATTATTGTCATTATTATTATCATTATTATTATTATTATTATTATTATTATTAATGAACATTAGACGACAAAGAGTAGTCTATACATCGAAGAGTGATTAGAAGGTATGCATAATCATCGTTTAGGGCAAACAGAACGTCAGATTTAGTAACAATGTTTTCAGATTACGAAACGAGCTGCTAAAAACCGTCTAGAATTATTGTCATGGATAAAAATGGCACGAATCTTCTTATTATTTGGGCGTCGCCCAAATAGAGAAATCAAGATGGCTTGTTTTGATTCAAAAATTGCAATAGGCACACAATACGTGCGGAGGTAAACAAGCCAAGCGACTCGAATGTCAGCTGCGCGATGAGTCACGACACAACATTTATCCTCGTTACAATACGCCCAACAGCTAACACACAGCAAACAAATCGGCACTAGAAAAGCAAAGTATTAAAAAAAGAGGTACACCGAGTGAAACAAAATGTTATATAATTTAAAATTTCCCAGCAGCACACGGCGTGGATGTTTTTACCCCGGACCATAGGTACCCCGGGTCATTGCCCTTTTTATTGTTCAGAGTATTCATTGCCAGCAGTGGCGTATTGCCAAGAGTTTGACAATATTATTGCCCTCAGTTGTCGACAGCCAAAGAAGACTGAATTCACGCAAAATTCCCTGATCGTGCACGAGGAGGGTAAATAAGGGTAAGGTTGAATGAAGTGTAATTTCATTGCAGATTTTCGGAAAGGAGGTGATTTCTTAAAACCTTATTGAGCCAAATGATCTCGTAAACAAGTTGCAATCTTTCACGTTCGAACCCTAATTCATACAAGGAATTTGATAACGAAAAAAAAATTCCTGAGGCTCGAAAACTCCCCTCCCCCCTCCTATAACTTTTCTAGTGGTCCGTCCCTTTTCTAAAGTGGTCCGTCCCGCGTGAAAAACAACTCACCGAAAGCCTGGGGCCCGTTTCTCGAAAGCAAATTCTCAAATATTCAAATCGAAATTAAAGAATAAGAGCGCGGGTCCTGGCCAGCAAACTACAAAACCAGTTTTATCATGTTAGATGCAAAAATTGAAACTCACCTTTAATGTAAACGGGCCTGGTCACATTAATTATCGCCGGGCCCCTGGTCACATGAGCCGGGCTGGCTAGCTTTGCCAAGATGACTTTTATCCTGGTATTACATGAAAAGGGCCAGTCCGGAGCCGCTATTTTTATGTAGAGATTGGAAGCAATGTGCATGAGTAGTGTGTCACCCGCTGTCCTGTTTCTTGCTTGGTTCATTCTCCAGGCTACCCGGCATGTGTGATAGGTTGGAAACTTTCCACTCGGGATCACGGCATCACAATGCTGGAATCCCAGCTAACCGGGCTGGCTCGGTTGTCATATAATTGCAAAGTTGATTTATGTTGCGTATAACTTAGGTGCCGGGTTTTCTGCAAAGCGAGACATCCCGACTCATGTAATCAGGCCCTTAGTTTTATTGCCAGATTTTACGTCCTCCCCCTTGAACTTACCGATTTTTTAAAGCCCCCGAACACACACACAAAATTTCAGCCCCACCCCCTCAACATCTTCATACCCCCTTCTCTATATTAATTAAAATGAACTTTCCTTTATCCACTTTCTCTCCATACAAATATTATCCAAAATAACCGAAAAACAATTTAAACAGAAAGTATTTTGTGTAGCAAGAAAAAAGCCAATCAGGGGTGAGAAAACTAAACTGCAAGCAACAACATTAATTAGTTTGTGGTTTTGTGGCTACAATCGGCGACAAAATTGTTGAGACATTGTACTTAAATAGGGTGACTTCGGAGAACAAAAGAATCCGCACCCCTCCCCTGTCCCCTCCATTCAAAGTTGGGGTGTTTGTTGTTTTCTATAGGTAGCTAGAACAAGGGCCCAACATTGTACGGAGGGGATGGGGGAGGAAAGCTATATTTCCTCCTTTTGAAGTTCATAAAACGTAAAAAAGCCTACTTTTGGGCGAAGTGTCTCAACTCATTTTGTCGCCGATCGGCGATTGTAGCTCTTCGGAGAACAAAAGAATCCGCACCCCCTGTCCCCTCCATTCAAAGCTCTGATTGGTTTTCATAACCAGGACCCAACATTGTATTAACATTCCTGAAATTTCTCCAGCGTTCACGGTTTTGTTGGTTTGTAGCTCACTGTCCCTGTCTTTGATGATTGGTCAAACCAGGAGCACAAAACATTCCTGAAATTTCTCCAAAAATATTTTGTTGGTTTGAATTTATTGATTTTGTATTAAACATGAAATAACAAGACGCTCTTTACTTACTGATAGATTTGCATATTAAGAACGAACCCACATTCTACGAAAAGTAAGCCCAAGGGAGGATAAAATTGTTGAGCCGGATTCCTAAAGAACCTGGTACTTTCCCGGAAATATGTCATGGTAACAATAATAATATTTACTAAGAGAGAATGAGCTCATTATCTCTTGTATTTACATAGCCTGCGCAGCGGACGTCAAAAGGGGTTGGGGATAGGGAAGAAAAAGGAGGGGATTTCCTTTTCCCCTCTTTCGCACTTTTCTCCGTCCCCCCTGCCCCTCCCCCTCCCCTTTTCCTCAATGTGACACCTTGGAAATAGAACAATTCCCCACAAAAATTCTAAAAAAAAGCATTGCTTGCAAATAGCATTTATTTAGCTTACATGGGACGAGGTTTTAAAACCCACCTTCCCCAGTTACACAATTTACTCTGTTTTTTTTCCACCCTCTTATCCCTAACATTTTACGGGCCACCCTCCCCCATGGCCAAGTGATACAGGTGTTGCGATACACGTATTTCTAATTACGAGGTGAAACGACCTGAAAAAGACAAGAAAGAGCTGTTTCCAATGAAACTTTATTTAAATGTATTATGCAACAATCTGGAGCTAGTATTCGCCAAACATTCCCCCTCGAGAAAACCATAGCTCGATACTCCTGTTTCTATGGCAAAACATCATTATTGTTAACATTATTGTTGTTCATAATCCTTAGGCCGGCTTGTTCAACGTTCCCTTGAGCTTGTCCTTGGTGTCCTTGTCCTTCTTCAATTCTGACCACAGCGTTTGGTGCGCCAAATATCTTCATCTCAATCTGTTCAGCTTCGGCAATGTTCACGGTTCTACAAATTAGGCCAATTAAAGCTACGCGAAACTCTCTTAGCCTGAAAGTATAAATAAGAGGATTGAAGAAAGAGTTCAAGGACGCCATCAATGTGGCCAAAAAGAAAGATATATAAAATACCCCCAAAGATAATTTTCCTCGATATCTTCGAAGGACTTCTGTAAAGGTAACTATGGGAAAAGAACACAACATCAGCACTACAATGACGATAAATGTCACTTTGAAAGCCTTTTTATCTTTTTGAAATTGTTCCTTTGCTTCCTCGGTCACCTGCTGAGCTGCAATTTGCTTTTGGTGTCGGCGAATTTCCAGGTAAACCGTAACATGGCAGAAGATGATTAAGACGACGCATAGACCATAGAGTGTATTCTTTATAGGCAAAAATACAGATTCGTTAACGGCGACAGGAATGTGCAAAGTTATGGATAGCAGCCACGCCAAGACAGAGGCAACAAGTAAACGAGCTTCGGTGACGAGGGAAAAGTATGCGAACGAGTGTCTGATGGCTAGATACCGTTCGCCGCTTATTAAAACCGTGTGAACTAAGGAGACGGAGACGCCAATTCTTGACACGGCAATTGTGAAATTCGGCAATGTGCACGACCTACTGGAATCATCATCAACTAAGAGTGATATAATCAAGGCGATGAAGGCAGGCTGCGCAAGGACCCCAACAAAGAAGTCTGTCAAAGCTAGTAAGGCGAGTCCAATGTTGGACTTGTGGGCTCTCAGACGAGAATTCATTTTAACGGCGAACATAACAAGCGCGTTCAAGGCAGCGGTGAGAGGAAATGTAAGAATGTGAACGACAGTGATGATAATGAGGAAAGCTTGGGTGAGAGTCGAAGGTTGATGAAGTCTTCCCCCAATAGCCTCATAGAACGGGCATCCATAGGCGATGATCTCTTTGCCTGGTAGACTCGAATTCATCTCTGTCCAGTTTTATCTCGGTTGTGTCTAAACTGCTTTGAGCGGACCTTCCTTCTTTCTTGTCTGCCCATAAATGACCTCTCTTAATACGGTGGTTAGCTTTCATAAGAAGCAACTAGCAATTTCGGTCGATTCTTTTATTGTTATCACGCTTTTTAAATTAAAGTTTATTTCAAGTTGGTTCCGGGAATATTGTTAAGTATGAAACAATCGCCCTACATTCGTAAACTGTGGGTTGGCCTGTGAAATGGTTCCCTCGTTAAAAAATATGTTAATTTCTATCGTAATAATTCCAATAACTTCTGCATCAGTGATCTGAATACATGCATGCATGAGAGGTTGAACGTCTTTAAATATTTATAGATACAAACAGGCGAACTGTTCCCAGTAATTGAAAATTACCGATTTAGAAGAAATGTTAGTTTTTTTTTCTGCCCAAAAAACACTAATTAATGGGACTATATTCTTTTAAGATTTAATTCACACTTATTGATTAAAGAGTATCTTGTGTTGCAAGTTTTTCTTAGTCATGTGTGTACCTAAGTAGTATTTCCCAGGATATTAAATGGCTCTTTTCCTCACAATGCAGACACCTGAAATTCGTTCAAAAAGGACGAAATATCATTCAATCGCCCATAGTAAATATTACTTCCATCCCAAAATACAATCACTAAATTTAAAATGGATATTTATAAAAAAAGTCACTTTGACAAAATTATCAGATTGATTTATTTATCTTTCTGTGTATAAGTCTTCTAAGTAGAGAGAATTTAATGATTAGGAGAAAATAGCACTGTCCTATGCAGCAAAGAAAATAAAGAGAGAAAGAGACACTTCCGCTCATCACTGAATCATTCATGACATTCATCGGTAACAAGTTTACCTCATTAACTGAAAAAATAAAAAATAACTGAGTAAAGGTTAATGAGAAAAAAATTCTTCGTTGTTCCCAATACTTAAAGAGGAATTGAACAACACACAGCCTAGTTGCTGCGGGGTGTTGTAAAAAAAAATACTTAAAATGAAATATTTTAAAATTAAGGCCTTGCTGCACGGGCTTTTCAATACTGAACAAGCAACCTCTAAAGTCAAACTTTTAGCCAACAGAACTGTTATGTTTTTCGCTTACGTCGATAGAAATTTTCGAAGAAAAGAAAACAAACAAAATGAATCGAAACATACAAATAAACAACTTACAGACGTAGTTTTTTCGAATCCGTTGAGGAAAAACAATGTTTCTTAAGAGAATCGTGTGAATGACGCCAGCATGGATAATAGAAGACGTAAGCGAATAACGTAAACGTTGGTTAAAGTTTGCACTTTAGAGAACGAAGGTTATTGAAAAGCGCAGGAGCTAAAAAAGCTCAAGGTTTTCCAGGAGTTTTCAGCTGGGCAACCCGCTATAAATGAATCCCAAGGGGAGATGGGAAGGGGGGGGAGCTAAGGGGCACTCCCATATTTGGGGTAGTTAGGTATGTGGCTGGGGCTACTCCCTATAATGGCCTTCACGGAGAGGCTCCGCCCAGACGAGGTACCTTTTTCAGGCTTCAGGGATATGAAAGGGTAGGGTGAAGTATAAGAAAGAATGGGGAAATCTATCACTGCGGTTTGTGAGAGGACCTAAAAGGGCTGACAGGCGCATTTTATTGCTGTGAAAACCACAGGGAAACTTCCTGGTTTTGTGTGATTTATTTATATTTAAAAGACGGTGCATTTACAGCAGTTAAGAGGGATGTAACGTTCTAAACAAGGTACGTGGAAGGGGTACCATTTGTCATTTAAAGATGCGAAAGGGGTGCCTTTCCTGTGAAAAACGATATATAATGGCATTGCGTTCCTGGTGTGATCCTTAGAAAGGTTACCTAAATTGCATCATCCAAAGTTCAAATGCGAAAATGCCCAGCTACACGAGAAAAAAAATTATCAGTTTAAACTAAAGTACTGCTTTGAGTACTAGGAATGCAATTAATAAAGGTTTATGTATTAATTAGTGTTTGTTTTCCCCTTTAATATGGTGTCATGCTTCGGGTTTGGACCTTAAATAGAGCATCAAGTTTCAAGCCATTACTACCAAACTAAAGCGATTTCTCCTAAGAATTAAAAAATTTTAAAACTGTCGAGACGCGTACGTCAACATCAAAGTTTCCATGGCGTCACATTACGTCATTGTGTAAATGTGGGGCGCCTCCCCGCCACAGTCACAGGAAGCCCTAGCAAGCCCGGTCTGATTCTATATCTAAAACAAGACGCTCTAACGGCGTTAAGTCGAGATTACTTGGTTAGATTGATTCGATAAAAAATGAGGAGATTTATTAGGTGATTAATTCTTAAGGACAATACCAATTTTAGCACTGAAGCACACTTACCAACCCCGCAGTATGGCCAGTACCTTACGCATGCGCACAACCATATCACCCCGGCAGTGGCAGCTATGGACAGCTGTTTTGTTCTAATTCGGACTCATCAGCATGGTATAGCTCCAGGCGAGATAGACGTCTTCAAAAGGAACGCACCCTAGAGCTTGGGTCAACTGAAGGAATAACGTTGACATGGTGCTCGACCTCCTTTTCCCTTTTCCTCCTAATGTTGGCCTCGAACTTGGACAAGCCCACCGAAAAACAATTACAAACCAACATTGGAAGAGAGAAAGGCAGGTATCAGAGCAGTATGACCCAAGGTGAGTGTCCTTGATTGTCTCTCTTTGCCAGTGGCACGCAGTTCAGTCTGGGTTAACACAGGTTAACCATTCCTTATTCCCGTACATATTACAATCAACATGTAGTGAATCAAATGTTTATTTTATTAGAACCCAAGAAACGTTTTTAACGTGGACAATTTTAGTTGGAAAAAATAGCTTTCTCGTTATGGGAAAAAAAATATTTCGTGGTTGACCGTCGTATAAAAATGAAGTCATCTGACTGTTTTAATTCCGCTCAATGGTTAACCGTTGCTGAAAAACATTCCTGGCCGGATAAAATTCTCCAACGCAGCAGCTGACGGTAGATACTTGCGGCGTGTTATGACTGCCTTTTGCAGTGTCAACAAAACTACCTTGAAAAATTTCAGGCGTCAGTATCGGTGAGATTTTACCCCAACGGCGTTCTTGAACTTTGGCAGCGTCAAAGTCAAAAGGAAATTTGTGGTTCAAAGAGTGTAGAATGGCGCGAAATGGAAAGCAGACACTCAGAAAGAAAAAATGGAAGAGAGAGAGAGGGAGAGACATACAAGACATATGTCCCTGTAACATGTCTCGACGTGTCTTTCTGTCTTTGCGTATATTTTATATGGCATGGGGGCGTTAAATTGCAGTATGTCTAACATTTTGTCTGTAAATTATATATGCTTTTCCTTTAACAAGCCCCTTAGGCATTTAATTAAAAAGATCTAAAAATTGCCAATGAACACAAGACTCAGGCTTTTTTCAGCGTTGTTTATTGTTTACCAGTCAATTACAAAGTCTATGGCCTATTCTGATCTCCAGCGAGAATAATTTACCTTAAGCAATTATCCTTCTGTAGACAGTTTTTCCGACTGTCAAAGAGCACTTAAGAATATGTCCGCTGGGCTTGATAGATTACGACTTCCGTATTAAAGCAAAGTTTTTAAATTTCTGCTAAGAAAGGTCGTCTTTTATGTTATATGAAGGAGTTTATTTTTGACGCCATGGTATTTTTGATGATGTGGAATAATTTTCCCCAGAACAGTTCGCTAAATGGCCGTTATATACAGAGCTTCACAGGCGGAGTAACTCCATCTTTGCTTTTGGCATGCGTGGCTTTCATTGGACTTGTTATGTTGTTGGTTGTATGCAAGCACGCTTATGGTTTTCAAAAGAACCCTGCTAACGTCGCTCAAGACTTGGACGTGGAATCTAGCAGTGACGAATCAATCTGCCTTGACTCGGTTCCACTGAGGACTTTTAATTCTTAAAATTCAACCTAATATATCTTCGTCTACGTATACAGCTTAGTACTACGGGAACTTCGCTACACGACAAACAAGACAAGTTTTAAAAACTGGAAGCATTTGTTCATGTTGCATAAAAAAGATATTTAATTTTCTTGTACATATCCAGCCGTTCGGTTTTGGAAAAGAGAGAAACAGGGGAATTTTTAATCCGTGACATTTCGAAATCGACATTTCGTGTTACGCTCATGTGGAAGACAGTTCTCATTTTTTTTGTTTTGGGTGAAAAATATATGAAACGATTGCCGCCGGAAAGATTTACTGTGGCTGTACGATATGGCCAGTGAAAAAGGCGTTTTCTGGCAAAATTTAGAACCGATTATTTCACTCTTTTTAACTTTGCATTTAGAAATGAACACCTTATATCAGAAATTACAAGTCAGTCTTGAAATGAATGAGTTGTCGTAGGGAGTTTTAATTTTCCGGGTATAAACAGGATTTTTAGTCAGCAAAATCGCGTCGTTCTACCTTAGCTAGCCTGCGACTCTGCCCATCGGATCAAGTCCTGCGTTCGCCCAGTTGTAGTAAATAAAAAAGAGCAATTTCATAACCGATAAATAATGAATATGATAATGTAACTGTAGACCTCAGTAAGATCCTTTAAACATAGACATTAAACGTACTTCAAAGCTAGACAAAAAAATTGAAACTGAATTTTAATCAACGACACTCGGTAAATAATTACTCAGGAGCCCGGGATTGCAGTCTGACTCGATAAACTTTAAGTGGTTGTTATAATTTCACTTCCGCAGGCCGGGGACGTTTTAATTCTAAGCTGCTGAGAAAGCTACACTGTAGGTGAGTGCGATCGAAGACTGACTTCCGTACACGTATGTCATGGTCAATCTATTGTGCCTTATTGACACTAAATCTTCATTAAACCACAGGTTTTAAAAAACAGACACGGAAAATTGGAACACAGATTTTTCACATAGGATTCAAGTGAAGTTCAACATGCTTTTGTAATTTGCACTAAATTTGCAATCACCTTAAGTCAGTAAGCTACGGAAGCCCAGGGGGGCCGCATGGTGATTTCGTTTTTATTTTTCACTTTATTTTTGTTTGAACGTTTTGATTTTCACTTCGCCATTTTGCTTTTCGGTTGAGATTTCGGTTTTTATTTTTTACTTTTCCGTTTTTGTTTCTTATTGACTTTTTTTATTTCTACCGATCTATTTCGTTTTACTAGATCTTTTTCGTTTCACTTTTCAGTTTTGCTTTGACTTCTCAATTTTCGTTTTCTTTTTTTTTTTCATTTATTTTCAGTTTTAGTTTTACTTTTAAATTATATAGTGAAAACAAAAAACAAAAGACAAAACAAAACCTAATTATAAACATTTAAACAAAAACCAGGAAAACAAAAAACCAAAACCGACAGAGTAGACCATCATGCTTTGCTGGAGGATCAATATGGCGGATCAAGGTGTCCATCCAGCGGAGTGCGGCTTTGTTAACCATGTTTGTCTAGGCAAAATTTTCAAATTTTACCTCCATTGATTGCTCTGAATCATAAACTGTATTTCTTTTCAACGTACCTTCTAATTCTTCTATTTAAGCTATGGAAATCGCGTTAATCGACTGGATGTGCTGTAAGCTACCGCACATTTGTTAAGTTTTCACTTCTAGATCGTAATCGCATAGACTGTGAATATTGAGGGGAATATATTCTTTGAACATATTAAATGAAACGATCTAAGTATGAACATTAAGTTTTTAACACGTGTCGGCTGTCAAGATCATATGGATTTGGAGTCACGTTTATAACTGACGGCGAAACGTCAGATTCACCCAACGTCTGTCTTCTAGGATATCACGTGTTCGAATGAGCAAATATGGAATATTTGGTTTTTAATGATCATAATTAGGTTTTGGTTTTCATTACATAATTTAAAAGCAAAAACAAAAACTGGAAAGTAAAACGAAATAGATCAGTAAAAATAAAAAAGTTAGAAACAAAAATGGAAAAGTAATAAAATATAAACCCAAATCTCAACCGATAAGCAAAATGACGAAGTGAAAATCGAAGTGTTAAAAACGAAACGGAAAAGTAAAAAATAAAAACCGAAATCTCAACCCAAAAGCAAAATGACGAAGTGAAAATCAAAACGTTAAAAACGAAAACGGAAAAGTAAAAAATAAAAACCGAAATCTCAACAGAAAAGCAAAATGGCGAAGTGAAAATCAAAAAGTTAAAAACATAAAGGGAAAAGTGACAAATAAAAACGAAATCACTATGTGGCCCCCCTAGGCTTCCGTAGTAATAAGCAGCTGTTATGATGAAAACAATTTTAACCCATGTTTGACTAAACAGCCTTATAACATGTTTAAGCTTTGGTGTGAAAACAATCGTGGTTATAAACTAGTGGTAAACAAGTATATGGATTAGCATCATAACTTGTAAAGTCTTTCAAAACGCGCGCTTTAACCTATATAAGTAGAGAACTTAAAGCCCTATTACAAAATGCAGCTTTCGGTTCTGTTATATAGGTAAGGGTTTTGAAAGGCCTTGCAAGTTATGATGCTAATCCATATACCAATTTACCACTAGTGTACACCATGATTGTTTTCACATTATGCTATATTTGGCTTATTCTTCTTATTTTTTGGTAGACACAACTGGGGATATTGGATTTATCGCTGTCTGATTAGTTGTTAAACAAAGCGGAAGCAAATAAGTCAAGAATTAATAACAACAAGTTCAAACTTGGAAAAAAGGAAAAAAGACTGAGAAGGGAAAAAGGCTGCAGCTGAAAAAGGACAATCGTCTGTTAGCTCTTATTCGTCTCCGCTTTACCTTCTTCCAGACAAGTTCTTTTTGAATACAAAATGCAATGGTTTTTTTTCGATTTTGTAAATGCATCTCATACACACGAAAAAATGGTAGCCAAGCCCGGCACTACTGCAGAACACTGTCCTATAGCTTTGATAACTTAACTGCACTGATAGAAAGGCAAAACAGGGAATAGCACAGCCAGTAAGAGCACGGCTTTCTGTGTTTAAAAAAATACAGCTCTGTTTGAAAAAAAACCTTGCAACAGATTTTTCCTTGTTCATCAGGCAATATTAGCATAAGTATAACCATTAATAAGAGAAAATAACCTGATCTTTAATTTTCTGCGCCTTCGGTTTTCCTCCGGAGTATAATTCCGTACATATTTCTCAAAGCTCCGGGACGAGATGTCAGTCAGTGTGCGTCCCTTTTTTCGGGTCAACCTATTTAAATTTTTTTAATATATATATTAAATATACCGTGGTAAAATCTTCAGTTTGATATAAAAATGCAGTAATTTAGCAATTAATAGCCGACGTCTGATGAAATGCAATTAAAAGAAAAATATAAACCGCAAGCAAAAATAAAATTGATTGAGAACTGATAAACTAAAAGTTTGACTGATTGAATTTTGTAAACTAAAGAACAGATTGTGCAAGGATGTAGTTTCTCACCGAGTTGATGTTGTTGATTGAAAAGGTGACCAGCTGCCAGGTAGTCTAAAAAACATGGAAATGCTTTGTTCTTTAGTATTTTCTCTTAGGTAAAACCTTACCATCGACATTCAAACTTACTCTTTTAACAATGACTGGTTAATTAACACTGCATTGTAGACCAAGCTAAGGGTTTTCTAGCTTCTAAATGCAACTTTTTGACATCACAATCTTTTTGCTGTAGTAAAATATCAACCTAGTTGCAAGGCTATGTTCTAAACAGCTCTGACTGTTAAAAAAAAATTGTTTCAGATTTTTCCTTGTTCATTAGGGAATATTAGTATCAATATAAGTAATGACTATTATTAAGGAGTGCGTATTTTCTACGCCTTCGATTTTAGCTTTTCCTGGCGGATTATACTATGAGTGTGCGCTGAGTAAATATTTTTCTTCGGGTTAATTTTTTTAATTTATTCAATTTACTTAATTTATTTTTATCTATACTTAAAGTGGTAAAATCCCCAGTTCGATGTAAAAAGAGACGGTAACCAGTAGCAATTCCTAGGGGATATCTGATAAAGGAAACAGACTTCTCTTCTCTTTTGGCTGAAATCTAAGAGAGGATTGATAAAATTTTAGCCGGCTGCTAAGCTTAAGGAGTTTATTTGGTATACTTTAATCAGTTCACGCCTTAACCAAATAACATGATAAAAAACGACAATTTAATTTGCCGACACCCAAAGCCTACACTTAGAGGTGAGGATACGTTTCTGTGAATTTAGGAAACCTGGCAATCTGCATCAGATTCTTCTTTGGAAAACGTCATTTCCATTAAACTGTTTCGGCAGATCAAAGAGGACTACAACTGTCAGTAGACAATGGAATAGTGCGGCGAGACTTTTCAGGGTCACGGAATATATATGTCCGATTTTAAAGCAATTTTGTTGGTAAACGATTGAAAACCAGCATCTATTTTATGACTACATTATTATTTAAAAAAACTATAAACCAATAGTCAATTTCTAAGTATCGGTTTGCCAGATTCGTAGCTGCTCGCTGGCCCTTTAATTTCTAGCTCTTTCTAAACGAAAACGGAAATTTTCCTCAGACAAAATGGAAAAAATGAAATTCTCCATCAACTGAACAAAACGACTTCCAAAGAAATAAAATAGAAAGAGGAAAAAAATGATATTCTATTTTCAAGTACGTCAAACCATCTGGAGCAGTTCTCAGAGTTCGACACACTCGTGTCTGTTTCAAAAATCACTTGTCGTAAAATTAGCTCATAAGCAAATACTTCTTCGTCCAAACGGAGACGAATGTTCTTGTTTGGAGAAAATGGCTTTTTTCTGACAGAAGGTACGTACGTACAACTATCACTTCTAATTGCACGCAATTGCATGCACTAGCTCTTCAGGAAGCAATTGAGTGTTACTCGAAAACGGAGTAAAACTTTCTGATCAAATCGCAAATAACAGTATAAAACAGTGGGTGAGATAAGTCAGTCTTTCAAGTGCACCACCACAAAAAGAAAATTATTTTCACGAAACAAACCAATGAAAATCAATCACTCTTTTGTATCAATGGAAAACAAGTCTTTCCAGTAAAAAAATAAAGTAAAATAAAATGACTGAAAAATTTAGCTGTGATTCAAAACCGTCTTGAGGTTGTTGACGTCGCGTCTTTTCTTGAGTCTCTGTACTAGCACATCTACTCACAAAAACTAACATGACGAATAATTCTTCGTCCAACGAATTCTATAAACCAGAGAAATGTCCTTATTTGGAGGAAGCGGCTTGGCGAGATGAGTTCCTGTTGACAGAAGGTACCTACAACCATCTGGTTGCTATAATCAGCATCAATTCCATCTCAGTTTTACCAACTGTGCTGTCGAATGCTCTGGTGATTTTTGCTGTCGTAACAAGGAAACGTTTGCGAAATAAAGCGACAATCCTTCTAGCGTGCCTGGCCGGGGCGGATCTTTTGACAGGGCTGCTGGGACAGCCAATACGAATAGCGACAGAAGTGCAGCGAATATTGAAAAAGGGGACATTTTGTAGCACTTTGGAAAGAGTAAGCACGTTATCTTTAATATGGCATAAGTTCGCGACCTTAACTCATCTTGTGTTAATAACTGTTGATAGGTACATTGCTATTAAAAAACCATTAAGGTATCGAGATATTGTTACAACACGGCGAGTAACCGTCGCTGTGCTTTCAGTGTGGACTTTTGCAATATTTGTGGTAATATCAGAAGTTATCCTTTCTGGAGTGAATAGTGGCGCAGACATGTACAATATTTATTTAACCATATGGGACTTAGTGCTCATCACTGTTACCTCGATTTCCATAATTTCCATCATAAGAATGTACTCGTACATTTTCTCGGAAACTCGGCGACAACAAAGATCTCAGACTGAGCATTTAAGCGCGGAAGAAATTGCTACAATCAGGAGAAACAACCGAGCGGCAAAAACCCCTCGGAATCGTCCTTGGTACGTTACTTGCGACATACCTGCCAACAATAATATTCATTATAATGTATTATTCAGTGAATCTAGAACGGCGTGTTTTAAACTGCATCGCGAGTTGGGTGGCAACGTTGGTGATGTTGGGTTCCCTGTGCAATCCTCTTGTTTACTGTTGGCGCAAGGAGGAATTGCGCCAGGCCTTTTTGGAGATTCTTAATTTAAGAAATCCAGAAAACAACCAGTCACAAGAAGCGATAGAGATGCAAGTAGTTCAACCAGCTCGCTAACATAAAAAGCAAAACAAAATGACTTTTTTGTTGACTAATTTCCTCTTTTTAATTGAATACGCGGACAGGAGACGGAGACGCGAACTATTTTAATCCGTCAGTCTATCAACAACTTAATTTAGTGAACACTGATGCTTTGTAGACGAAGGTTTTTTCTTCTAAATACAACTTTTTAAAAGCAAAATCTATTTGTTGTTGTAAAATATTAGCCTGTGAACGAGGACTCTCTGTTTGGGGAAGGGGTGAAAAAAATCCCTAGGAGAGGGAAGGGAAAGGGTCCTCGCGATTTTTCCACCCTTCTTTCCCAAACAGAGAGCCTGTTCACAGGCCAATAAAATACCGACCTATTTGTAAGTCTGAGAGCTAAACGCATCGCTGTTAAGAGACAAACTTGTTACAATTTTTTCCTTGCAATTGTTCATCACACTGTTACCGTGAACCTAAGTAAGTCCGAGCAATAAAATAAAACAAAACGGCTTATACTTCGATTTTCTTCCGTGTATTTAAATCCAGTTCATGTCTATCGGAGCTCCTGGGCGAGTTGTCAATGAATGTTTGCTGAATTTATCGTCAATCTTTGAAGCGTAGGGTAGTAATGCACAAAACGCCCGGCCGTCTATCTAGCAGTTGTTCTTTAAATCGAAGTTGAGGTGAAAAGGAAATACCAGATGTTGAGTTTGTAGTAGCCAAAAAAGACCGCCTTATCCACTGGGTTAGCGGGTACTGTATACTGAGGGAAAAAGCCAAATTCGTTATAAATATACATATAGCAACTAATGGAAGAGTTCCAATGAAATACAATTGAAAGAAAAAGATACCACAAGGGGAAGACCAAATAAGGCGATTCAACTTTCCGGCGAACAAAACTAAATTTAGTGTTTCAAAAAGTTTGAATTGTATTTTTCCAACCAAGGAACACATTGTGCGATAACAAAAGTACAAGGAAAATCAAGTGGCATTATTTCGCCCGCTGATTCAACCTCGTACACATGCAAACTCTGCTGGCTTTTTGGTCAGCGGGAAAAAAAAAGCCATAAGACTATGGGTACGAGATTGCCGCTGATTATGCTGCAGGTCTGAAAAGGTAAAAAATATTCTCTTTTTTGACCAGCTGCCAGGCATTCTAAAAAAGGGGCAAAAAATTTGTCTTTTCTTATAAGGAGCTGTAATCGATAATGGCTCCTGTTATTATTAATTTTTTCAGTACATTATAAAATCGTATAAGCTTTGTCAAGCATTTTTAAGAAGATCGCCTTAAATCAATAAACTAATTACATACAAACGAGATGGCGCTAGAGTGAGACTCACACTGGACAGGAGTAGTATTTCTTAGATTGCCAAAGTTTTACTCTCTATAGTTAAATCATACAATTGGCAATCAGCATTAGAACCGATAGATAGGCGGATAGTCATAACAGGCTACCCAAGGGTTATGACAGATAAAGGGGATGACGAATTCCTTCTCAATTGGATCTTCATTCCCCACCACGCACTTAACAAAAAAGACTTGGTAGTGACACTAAGGACAAGGTAGCGCTAGAACACTGGAAGCAATGTAATCAAAATTTATTCGAAGTGTATGTTGAGTAAGTAAAATCATTTTACAAAGCTCCGTTTTATCTTTCTGACCATCTGGGTCTTGCGTTGTTTTAACACACGCACTCGTACCCAACCCTCCTGAGTTTGAAATTAGGCCGTTTCTGCAAGAACGAACGTCTGGAAAAGCCGAAGAGGTCTGGTACGTAGTCATACATCCAAGCGCAATATGACAATGTGAAGCATTAAATAATCTACGAAACCAGCAAAAGAATGGAAAAAAAATTGTCCAATTGCAAGGAACTTGAATAGAAGAATATGACTTGAGGGTTGGATTGTCCGCCCTTTGAGGACATGAAATATCAATTTCAGCCTGTCACAAGCCTGGCAGCATTTAAAATGTAAATTGTCCTGACAGTTTCTTCTTTGAGGTCGAATAGCGTTAACAACTTCTTAATGGACAGACCTCCATAAAATAGGCATTTAGAATTGTTGCCTTTCATCTCCTCATTTTCATTGAAATAGTGTTTGCACCTATGATGCCCGATTTTGAGAGAAACTGAACGGCTCACTCTTCCAGCCTGTATTAAAGACCCCAAAAAAGCAGAGGGAAGCTATAGGCTAAAACCACTTTCTCTGTCTCCGAGATTTTAAAGTCAAATTACACATTATATGTTTGTTTCAACATTGTTCAAGTTATCCAAGACTTCCCTCAAGCGGTCCGTTTCTATACATAAATATTTTTCAGCCGCGTCAAAAATGTTAGAGTCTCCATGGACATCGGTCCATTTCTCTCTGGCCGCATCTTTTGAGGACTTACTAAGTTGATATCTGAAATGAGGTTTCTCATCAATTAAAACTTCCCGTAAGAGCTCAGCAACTTTCTTTAAATCAAGTTTTTTCACTGATCCCTGCCGTCGCATTTTCCCAGAGCAGGAATCTTGGTATTTTTTGGTTTCGTCATCTGCGTTTTCCATTTTCGAGCGGATCGAAACTTGAATGGTCTGCGCTGTCTTTTCTTCGCCTTTGATCATACTTGTTTCGATAATGGAACAGCTGTGGAGAGAAAGGTAAGTTACACTAGAATCATTGCTAGGCCAATGCGTATAGTACCTGTACATTTCACAGCAGAGCGTAACCACCAAAACTACTCAGCGAGTAAGGACCTACATTTTCCCAAGTTGGCCTGAACAGGTTCTTACAAAAATGGTATTAGCACAAAAAAACTGATTTAATATTGCTATAATAAGAACAAGTAAGGTACTGATCACATGAATTTCAAAGTTCTCCTTCAAAGTCACACATTTATGTTTTACATAAAAATAAGAGCCTGTTCCAAACTTTGGGCTAAACAGGTTCTCGTATAGAGGGGGACTAAATGGCAAATCTTAGCCTAACAGGTTCTCAAAAAGTAGGTTCTTAATTGCGGGGTAGTACCGTATTGCTTTAGCCAATCAGAACAAAACAAAAACAGGCCGGGGATGACTGAACCAATCAGAGGTGGTAGTAACACATAATTATCCGGGAGCCAAGCACATGAAAGCACGTGCAACCAAGTGGCTTTGGTTGTCATTTGTGATTGGTCGATAAAGGAGAAAAAGGTTAGATTTAGTCAACAACCCTTTGGTCATGAAACTTCGTCTTAACCAGGCTCTTCCCTCAGAAATAAATTCGGAGGATTGTCGGCTCACTGCTCCAAAGCCCTCGAAACGAGGCTGCGTGATACCAAATTCTGGGCGTCAAAGGTTTCGTCAACCAGACGAGGCCTTTTCCCTTTTAATATGCCTCGATGCTACCAAATGTTTAATTGATAAGTCTTTTTTTCTAATCTTTTATAGCAAATTGGGCAAAACCACTGCCCAAGAATGCGGAAACCCACATCCGGTTGACGTACTGTGCAGCGAACACACCTTTGTTTAAGATCAAATAAAATCCTTGGGAGGAGGGAGAGGGACTTTAAAATTTCAAGTTTACATTAGCCTGTGTACAGACACCCCCAGGGGAGAGGGGCGTCTGTACACAGGCTAGTTTACATCGCCAAAGGCAGTTAAGACACGACGAGGTTTTTCATGTGCATGTTTAAATGACCCTGGAATGACTGACTGGGAATGACTGAGAACGAAGCTCTCAGGGGCCAGCGTTAATCTTTTGATCAACTCGGCTCAAAACTATCTCTCTCATTCAGAAGGTACTTCATTATTATAACGTAGGCAAAGAACATGAAAACGCGGTTATGAGGTCACAAAATGAGTGTATCTAACCCGACTTGTCCGACAGGAAGCTAGATGGGGTCCACGAACGGGATATTCATCAGCGAGAGCCTCAATGCACTTACCGTTCGAAACACCCCCAGAAACATTTCAATTCGGTTGTTCTGATTGGCCAAAAGTTCAAATGTCAGAAGCAGGAAATCAAAATGCTTCCTAAACTGGCCGGTTAGGATTAGTTGCTCAACGGATTTCCCGTTCTCCCTTATATAAACTATACCGAATAATAATAAGCGCCGGTCAAGGGGGCGTTTTCGAAAGCCCCGTTACCTTTAATTTTCGGGCTCGAAATCAAACTTAGAATGAGTGCTAGCTGTTGCTAGCTCACAAAAAACTAAATTGTTTAAGGTATAAGTTGTTCTGTTGCTTTCAAATCTATCAAAAGACTTTCAAAAGACTCATTTTTAATGTACCAGGTTAGCAAAGATTGAACAGCTCCCCGCGACCATCCTCTTCCCTGGGGAGCTATAGGGAGCTTAAGCAACGACGACACGGCGACGGCAACGAGAACGGGTGAAAGCAATAGGTTTAGATTGGCAAATTAACAACTCTGCACGTGCATCACGCGTTTTTGTACATTTCTTTGCCGCCACTGCACGACTACGACGTTAAAATGACTAATTTCACGTTTTGTCGGGGACGTAAACACAAGAGAACGACTTTCTTTTTCTTTTCCTGAACAGTCTGATACAGTCTTTTAGAACTAAACTCCAGAAAAATCAGTTGGCAACATTTGACGAATTGAACGAGATGAGATAAGTGCAATAAAGCTTGAAGCAGGGCGAGTTTTCTTTTAAAGTGACGTTAATTTTTGTACCCTTCGCCGCCCTTAATATTTATGCTCCCTAAAGCCTTGGTAACTGAAATACCGAGACCTGTATTTCGATTCAGTTACCAGAAAGTTCGAGAAACGGTTCAGGGGTCTCCGTGGGTAGAAACTGCCTATAACTGAGAAATGCGGTCACTTACTAGATGTTAAACGCCAAACATTCTGGTGCAATACACTCCATAAATCCTTCTACTGCAAACTTGGAGGCACTGTAGATTCCGTGGAAAGGAATGCCTTGAATTCCAGCCTGGTTACTCATGATAATGAGGCGGCCATCCCGCTGCTTTTTCATTAAAGGTAGAACAGCTTGAACAAGTTTTATGACCGAAAAAGTGTTCACATCAAATATCGTCTTTGCTTGGTCGACGGTATGTGTTTCTAGCTGGCCATTTAGAAGGACATTTGACGCTAACACTGAAAATAGAAAAAAGAAGAGAGAACCCATTTTTTACAGACAAATGGGATTTTAATTTCAAAAGGAATCTGATGACTCAATTTGTTATTTGCACAACATTGGTATAGTTTCCGTGTGGAAGAAAAAAAAATGACAAGAAAGAGTTGAAGTAAGCAATGAATCAATATTGCAAGCCTTTAAAATTGTTAAAATCATGGCCTAGTCTTAAAAATTCACCAAAAAACCGCAAAATACTCCTTAATGACATCTGTAATCCTACTGTTAATACCCGGTACTCTAACTTGAATTCAAAAGCGAATCATTGAAGTAATAAAACGACAAAATTTTAGAGTTAGAGACACAGTAGTCCATCGACACTATACATTATTACGTGCTGTATGATTCTCATTCTAAGTGAATGACCTAAATCGGGCTTTACCGATCATTACGACAGTTATGAGGGGTTCGAAGAGGTGTAGCGGCGAGCGTATGAAAATCAAACAGGGGCTCAGTTAACCGCAAAATTTGTCAAAGCATTGAAAGTTGCTTACAAACGTCACTAATTTGAATAGCTTTGAAAAATTACCTTCAAATCACGTGTGGAAACACTGTTTATTGACATATCCGAAAAATAAAAACACCGGCCAAACAAATGTCGCGAAAACGAAAACGTGCGCGGGAGATCGAATCGGAACGGAAACGAGGCTGTTTTTGCGTGACCTCGCCCTAATGACCCAGATTAACAGATTACACATTGTAAATAATTCAGAAATAATTCTTTTTAAATATAAATGCGTTGAGCTCTCTAACTGAATAGGTGAAACCGCGATTTGGTGAGTAAATTTGAGTTCAATCACCACTTTAAAATAAATTTTTCAATTTTGCATGATTTTATAAACGGCTTCTGAACAATTCATCAGCCGGAAACTAAAGAATGTAATCTGACTTTCTGGTTGAATGCGTGCCGAAAATATTTTGTCTGCCTTATGTTTTCCTATCTTGCTGCCGAGACTAAAAGAAATGGAACGAAAAACAAATAACTAGAACCTGGAGAATAACTTGATCGAAATGCAGCAATGAGGAAGTAGATTGTTCCACTGGCGAATGGAAAATCCGAGTTGGAGAAGTCAAACTGCTGTCAGACAAAAATGGAAACAATTTCCCAGCAACTTTAATACTGCATGCAGTTAATTACCTCATGCAATTTAGTTGTAACAACAAGACTCTTTATTTATCTACCAAGGGCATATAAATGAAATTCGATTTTGCAAGCACACGGGAAAAAATCGCGCGCGCGAAAATAAGAGCCTTCCGAATGTACAATATTTTAAAAACTCACCCACGGCATCTATGAATCCGTCGTTTTCCATGATCTCTCGGAGAACCCCTTTGACCGATTCATCCGAATCGACGTCCATTTGAAGGACAAACAGGGTCTTGTTCAGAAGATTTAAAACTCTTGAATCAGCCAAGTATTCGCTGCTAGCCAAGGACGGCATTGTAACAAGCACTTTAAATTTGCCAAGAGGGTCTTCCGCCAGGTGAAGGGCAAACGAAAGATTCATTTTGTGTGAATAGCCCGTAAACAGTACAACTTTCGGACCAGACGTTTCTTCTTCCTTCTGGCTATGGATACTCTTCCTTTTGGACTTAACAGAACTTCGCTGTCTTTTAAAACGACTCTTTACACCTCCCATCTTCACTAAACCAGCCTTAAACCGCGGTAAAGCGGTGCTAGTCAGCTTTCTTAGTTATTGTATGCACTTGAGTACAAGACAGATGCCCCCTGCGGAGTTAGGGTGTGATAGAATACAGCTTGTTTTTCTTTTCCTTGACCATCAAAGATAAAAAACACTACGTTTTAAAATGGCCCAATAGCTTTGCTAATGGCCAATTGTGCAAAGCGAGAAATGTCATTGAACAAGGGTTCCGTTCTCTTTATGACTTTTCCGCGCTGAATAGAATTGTTTACAAATACTTTAACTCGTTGACACTGCAAATGCGTCAAAATTAAAATGAATGTAATCAAGAAGTCTTTAATTGGAGAACTGACGGGAAGGAGAGTGAGGGTCAGACTAGTCACGCACTGGTAAGCTCATCTGCATGAAGTGAAAAAGTCCTTCCTCCGATCCGATTCAATATGCCTCGACTTCTCGCGACTTCGTCGCTCGCTTGGCCGCTTCGCAGCCTAAGAAAGCTCGCTTCGCTCGCTACGAAACTCGTGAGGTCGACTTGATACAAGTCTAAAGTGAATTCTGAAGGTCAGAATGCGCGATGACCACCTCATAGCTCAGGAATGGGTCTGGATCGGGTATTCCCGAAACCCGAGATTTGACCAAAATACAGTGCGGGATTCGAGAAACATTAACGGGATACACAATCGGCTCCTGGATACAGGGCTTTCACTGCTATCCGGGAAGCAGGATTCGCCCAAATCTGGGCAAGGATGCGGGAACGGGAAAGAAAACGATATTCGGGATACCCATAAAAAAAGTTCAGGATGCGCGAGAATGCAGGATAGGAATTCCTTTTCAATCTCAGACCCTATTAGGACAAAAGAAAGTGGCCATTGTATAGTGATGTGACAGTTTAATAAAAAAGTGACGGGGCTGCTCGTCGTACCTTTTAGGGGTTTAAATTTGTGGATTGGTAACGCTTATGGTACTAAAACCTAAAATGACTGATTAGGATAAAGATTTATGGCAATACCTTCAAAAAGTCCTTGAGAGAAGTGTTTGAAAGTTATCTTTATTACTATTAAAAGTTGCAGTGCCAGTCAGGTTATATAATTGGTTGTTGTTGAATTGGTACCTCTTAGGGGTGGAAATGACCGAATTTGGGACACGCCCGTAAAACAAGATTCTGATACCGTTAGTATTCCGAAATTTTCCTACAAACACCCCCGTCACTTTTACACGGGAGTACCCCCGGGCTTAACCCGGGACGTGGGACAAATCCAGCCCTTCGGGTCCAGGGGCCCAGTGGGGAATTATTTAAAGTGGTCCTGTACTAGGGGATAGGGGGACCCAGGGAGGGCGGGATGAATCGAAAACTTGATTACTTCCTAGCTTTGAAGAAAAGAAACAGAGTCCTGGCAGTCTCACAGTACGACAAAAAACAACTAAGGCAATCTGCCTTGCTCAAGCAATTTCCCTTGGAAATAACAGTCAAGGAGATGTGAGATAAGGTCTCGTTACCCAAAGCCTGCCAATCGTGTCTATTGCACTGGGTGAGCTCCTTGCTCTTTGTGTGGGTATACCCTTTGTCCCATTTTGTTATAAGATCAAAACCAAAACCCACAGGGCGGAGGAAAATTTTTCAATAGAAGTCCCCTCTTATCCAACCTCGTCCCCAGGGCTTTTCCCTTAAAAAATGGGTGGGGCAGGAAAAGGCCCTGGCATCGGCTGGTCACGTGTCCCCTCGTACACCCTAAAATCCTGGGTGTAATAAATTAGCGCTATGTGAAACGCTAAAATTATGCGTAACCTCACAGCGTGCGATCTTGAGCGGCCTTTTATATCTCTTGACGAGTAACGAAAAGTTCTACAAGATTTCTTTTTTGTCACAGATACTGACTATGGTATAAGTAATTTTTTGCTTTCCTCCGATTTCTATGAAGGAGACAGCGAGCGGTAACATTTATAAAACTTCCTTTATAGAGCGATATAAATGACAAACAAGCTATCCGTAACGTACATGCATAAAGTTTGTACTGGCATGGAAAAGTCCGTTTTCGCGACTCTTTTGATATTTTATTTATCTCTTGCGAAGTGGACCACCGTACACAACCTAGTCTTATTCACCTTGACTCTCAGCCATATCATAGCGACACGCGTTGGTTTAGACTTATCCAGTATGACCAGTATTTTTAAAGAATTCATTGACCTCTGCGAGACTTGACCGAAACCGGAAACCGCGCCTGAAAAGTTACTGGCACCCAAGGTATCAAACGACTGGTAACAAAGAAAGACTTGGGTCCATTTAAAATTGACAGAGCTGTAGTTGATTCCAATCGATCGGTCAATCTTCCCTTTGATATAAGGAAAATCCTTTGTACTTATCCTCGGAAGAGAAAAGATATAAGAGATCTTCAAATGTTTCAGATCGGCGACCTGTCATCGTTCCTTGCATCCGGCGCGGAGATTTGTTTGTTTCATGGTCGGGTTGTAGAGAAGACCAGACTCCATAAAGCATTTTGATGAACAATTCTATTTCAATTAAGTTCAATTTGTTTAACTTCACTGCGGATCCTAGAGGCAAAGGCCCGCATTTTTGTTTGACACTGGAAAAAATCACTTTCTGCTTGATCGTACAGTAATTCCACAGTCACGATGAATTTCAGTCGAAGTACTACTCGATAACAGCTTGTCTCAACTCTGAAGCATTTGACATATTTTGTACGTGACAACGTAGAGCCGGTACGCCCTTTCATAAACTTGTAGCATTTGAATAATACGAAATTAAATGGATCTTAAGCTTTTGAATCGCACAGACGCGAATATTTTCCATTGTTGCTCCGTTCGACTTCTGTCAGCGCAAAACCAGCGGGTTGCATATAAATTAGCTTCTCGGGAATATTTAGGCTGTGCACGTGACCAGCCGATGCCAGGGCCTTTTCCCGCCCCACCCATTTTTTTAAGGGAAAAGCCCTGGGGACGAGGTTGCCCTCTTATCACAAGCTACGGATCAGCGCCTTCCCTCCCCTCCCCTGCCTCTCAGTCTGGAAGAGCCCCACCCACCCCCCCTCTGTCTCTAGGTCTAGATCAGCGCGCTCTCCCCTAGTTTATCGCTAGGTCTGGATCTATAATTGACTCCTGACTGCAAAACCGTGGGTTTGTTTTGGAATGGTTTTCATTCTTAGAACTGGTAATACGTTTTACAAAACGTTTTTCATCGCCGTAATTTGCAGAAGAAAAAGGAGTCAGAAAGTACCATCTTTCAATCCAATGACATCTCTTTGAGGGACACCAATACTTGCTCGTTACTTTCAGGACGAAAATGGCAAGAGTAAGTGGAGTGCTAATTGAATAGAGATGGAAAGCGCCAGGTCCAGTTACGATTTCTATTGACAATTATTTTCCTTTTTTTCAATATGGCCTCACGCCTGCCATCCAGGGCAGGTCCAACCTCGTCCCCATAGGAGGGGCGCCCGCCCACCCCTATTTTCTAAAGGAAACGTCAACGGGGTTGGGGTAGGTCCAGCAGAAATGCTGAAGGAACGGGTCGCCATAATAGAGTAATGCCATTTTTGGTAGCCTGTTCCAGGTTTCCATATGGTTAGAACTAGCTGAATCGTACACGGAGAGCACAATGGAAAAACATGGGAGAAACGAGGGGTGACTGGGGCAAGGGCAAAGCCTTCTTCTCCTTGTCGTCCTAGTCTCCCTTCGCTTTTCTACCTCGTCAGTTTGTCGCCTGTGCTGTACTGTCTGAACGCCTGGAATAGGCTGTCTCTTTGGGGGTGGAATCAGATGGATAACGAAAATTTTTGAGAAAAGGGTAGGGCCAAGGGGTTGGACCCAGGGCGGAACCTTCCCTTCCCCCGGCGACACCGCGGGAAAGGGCGGGTCTTATTCTCCGAAGCCTTTAGTAGGTTCACCCTTACGTGGAATTAAGGTGTCCTGAAATTGCCCCCCTCCTTATTTTTAGACCAAACTGAGGCCTGAAGGGCCGAAAAAAACCTTTTTGAGACCGCCCCCCCCCCCCACCCCACCCCTTATCACAGGGTTTAGATGACCGGGCCCTCCCCTTACCCATGTTATCTGAAGATCTGGGTCCGCCATTATAATGGACTAAACTGCAACAACTATAGCTTTTCAAAGTTGGGCGAGATTCACTTAGCTGGCACTCTTTGAAAAAAGTGAAAGTTAATTTTTTGGCCTTCTCAAAATATTTAGGATGCTAACGGATATGATTAGGAAGCGCTTCTTTAGCGCACTCTTCAAACGGCTCAGGCTCCCAGCCTCAACAATAGATCCTGGTAGACTATTCCAGTCCCGTACGATTCGTATAGGAAAAGAGTATTTATATGGGTTACACTTTGCTGGCTTAACATATAGCTTATACGGCGGATGGTTAGAGCGGCTTTAATTGCACCTGGTAAGTTCAAAAAGGTCGTCAAAGTTTAGTTTGTTCATGCCAAAAACGATCTTATAGCATTCAACTAAAGAAAGAAACAATCTACGTGTTTCGAGTGTAGGCCACTTCAGTTTTCTTAAACGATCTTCGTATTCCATCCCACCATGTTTTTGCCCGAGAGCAAGCCGAGAGGCCCTTTGCTGAACTCTTTCTAACGCTAGCACATATTTAGCCAAATATGGGTTCCAGGCTGAAGCAGCATATTCAAGAACCGGGCGCACGAGAGATTCAATTGTATAACGTAGAGAACCGGCACGGAAACCGGTATGGAAAATCTATCTACCAATCAGAGGTCTCTATTTTGGTCATGTGATTTATCTTAACCAATCAGAAAAGACCACTTGATATGCTTGGCGGGTCTAGTTGGGTAACTCATTTTAGAAGAAATGTATGAAATGTCTATCCGCCAATCGGAGCCCTCTATTTTGGTCACGTGATACATCTTAACTCATCAGAAAAGACTTCTTAATATGCTTGCCGGGCCCTTACAGGTATCCGGCTATTATAACGTGTCACGTGTTGAAAATTGGCCAATCAGAAGGCTGTATTTCCCTTTCTTTGTCCATATATGGTATGCAGGGTCTTCTGGGCCAGAACCCCCAATTTAACACTTCTCAAGTACCACCCACCGGGGGGAGCCGGGGGGCAGGGACCCCGAAGGCTATATTAGCTAATAGAATAATCAGTTGTTATTTACCTATGTTTCCCGAGTCTTTAATTATGAGTCGTTTTTTAAAGGGATTTGAATCCGATCAGAGACAGTATAACATGCACAATGCGGGTCTCAGTCTGTAAATATAGAACGCGCGACCGGAGCCCATAGGGACGCGACGGAGGGGAGGGAAGGTCTGTACACAGGCTACGCGACAGTTGATTATCATCATCATCATCTTTATTCATTTCCATCAATGTAATATAAGGGGAAAAAATACAATACAATATATCTATAAAGACTATGCATACAGATTCAGCATCTATAATATAAAAATGTTACCAACTGGGAAAAGATAACTAAATTAAAGCCTGTTTTCCATGAATGCCGTGTCGGAATTAATTAACAATCGTCGAAAATTAGTCAGAGATGTTGCTTGCCTAACAACTGAAGGCAGACTGTTCCAGAGGACTGCACCAAAGTAGCTAAAGCTATTTTTGTAATACTTAGTTCGTGGTAATGGAATAGCAAACTTATTTTCAGAATTTCGCAAATTATAATTATAAGAAGTAATCATATCACTCAACTGAATGAATTTAGAGGACAAATAACTGGGTGGGAGACCATATCAAGACTTATAGACCATCTTGGTCTTTAGTTTTTGACGTTGAGTTTCTAAATTGTCCCAGCCTAACTTTTTAATTAGTTGGTTGGCATCAGCATCATAACTGGATTGAGTAAGGACGCGGGCTGTGCGATTTTGAAGGCTCTGTAAATTATCAGTTAACGTTTTCGTACAGTTAACTCTCTTCGGAATTGAGGAGAAGATAGGGAAAAAGGGTACGGGATTTAATGGTCCAATCAACTCCCGATATACCCCCCAAGTGTGTTTTGATTACTGCCCGCCACCCCTTATAGCAAAGTTCAACCCCGGTGGAGAAGACGGTTTTTCACAACCCTATGACGTAGGGTTTTAGTGGACGAAGACAAGCCGTTGCTAATAGACCTTTACTTCGGCGGAGCGCAAAGTAAAGGATTCGCGCTGTTCAGGAATACTCAAGTTGCATTCGGATTTCCCGAAGTTGCTTCGGAATTAGTTCGAGATATCTTCGAGTTCTTTGATTTATTCCTCTTCTTATTTATTATTCTGGCAAGAAATATTGATTGCAAAAGTATTTTACAGAAAACATCGAAGCAATTTGGGCTAGTGCTTCAAAATACGAGCGAAAATCGACATACAAGAGCAATTTTCAGTGCGTCTCACTTCGCGGGCGAGTTTGCCTATGTCGCGCGATATGTTTCTCCAAAGTGCATTTCAGTTTGGCTTTTTACCGTCGAAACCTTGACTTTCCCCCCCCGATATATAGCTTGGAATTCGTTTTACATCATGGAAAACCCACATTCATTACTTTGCCGGTTAAATTTCCGCCGATAGATCAAAGTTTCAGTTGTGTACTACGGCCCGAAGTTTAATGTAAATTTTCACGCGAACTGTACTGCCGTGTTTGTGTTTTGTGTTTCTAAATCCAGCGGCCGAATTAATGCTAAATATGCTTTTGAATACACTATTAAAAATAACACCACACAATACGCAAAAAAGAGGAAAAAGAAATGAAAGAACAAAGTCGAGACCCCCAAGACGATATTTTACCCATCCAGTTTCTAACCCGGCCCGACAGGGCGTACAAGCGGAGGGTGGCGGTGGATGCTACCCCCGCAAAGGTTTTTTTGAGTTTTTCCTAGAGGATAAAACATCAGCACCTGACGTTTTCAGTAGCTGTTCGTCCATCCTTTGCGCACATTTTTAGACAAGTTTAGTGATGGTCAGTTGCTATGGTTACGAGATATGACGTCATAAGTACCAGGTGGTCAAGCCATTTTGGGGTGAAAATACATGTTTTTCAACTTCTTTCAACAATAAAAGTAAATTTTGTGGCTAAAATCATGAAAAAGTGTTTATTTAAGTGTTATTTTCATTTAACTCACAAAAAAGGTTTTAACTTGATTTCTAATTCTTGGTAAAATCCAAGATGGCGACCATTATTGAATTTATCGCATCTTTTGAATGTAAAACATTGACAATACTCACACTGAAATGTCCTAGTCATGGATATATGTATGTATTGTCCGCATTAATTTGGAAAAATTAGCATAACGTCAAAACAGTGAATGTTGTAACGCAGATTTTTGACCGGTTCGTAGGATGGGTTTGTCTTGAAATTTCAAGGTGTTGCAGTGAATCAATCTTAATGAAAGTTTCAGACATTTTTATATACATTATGAAGATTATGTGAAGAGATTTTAAAAATTTCGTTCCAGTCATTTCGGAGATATACAAAAAAGCGTTAAAAGTCCAAATTTTGAATGAAGTTGCACTTAGACAGGTGGTGAGAAAACGTGTTAGTTTTCAAGATTGCAAGAGTGAAAGTACACCAAAATTTCCTAGAATCAAAATATGATACTAAGCAGCATTCTGACGCTACTTAAGAATAATTTGAGTCATTTATAACGTTTTTATTAAATAATCTATCACGGCTATTGAAAATTTAAGGTTTGAAATATATTTTCGTTTTAGTCGAATTCAAACATACAGAATTTTTTAGTTCTTACGGAGATTATTTGCTAAAAACCAAACTTAAAGTTCCTAGTGCTGGATTTTAAGTAGCATGTCTAGATCACACAATCAATTTCAAATTTTTTTGTTTATTGTTGTCATAGTAATATCGATTTTACTTAAAACTACATTTTCACAAATTTCAATCCATAGCCAATTACTGGTGAAAATTTTATAGCGATCAGACAAAGAAAAAAACCACTTTTAAGGCGATTGAAAATATCGGTATGGCCTCTGAAAAACTGTATCGAAACACCTTATGTGACCGTTCAAGAAAATGACGAAGCTTTGCTTCTGCAACTTTTATTGATTCTTTCTTGCTCACCTGAGTAACTTATATTAAATTTACTTTGACATACTCTATGGCACAAAAATGCTTCTTGCTATAATACTATAATTTGCAAGTCACTATTTAAGGAGGGAGGGGGGGAGGGTACTCCCTATAATGGCCTATACGGGTAAGCCCCGCCCAAACGAGGTACCTCTTTCAGGTTTTAGGAAAATCAATAGGTAGGAGTTTCATATAAAAGGGTAGGGAAATCAGTCATTACGGCCTGTGAAAGTATTTAAAAGGGATAACAGGCGCATTTTATGGCTTGAAAAACACAAGACAGTGCCGGATCCAGACCTTGAGATATGCGGGGGCCCCGGTCATCATCCCGGTCATAAAAGGGGGCGGGGAGGGCGGTCTCCCAAAAAAATTTGTTTTGGCCTTTTGGGCCTCAGTTTGGTCTAAAAATAAGGGAGGGGGGACGGGCCCCCAGCCCCCTCCCCTGGATCCGCCACTGCAAGAAAACCTTCTGGTTCAGTAATTTATTTAACAATTAATGAATGAGGCTGAGTATCTTTTGAAGAATTATGGAGATCGAGATCCGAGATCTCCATAATTCTTCATATGATACGAAAGCCGAATTCAATAATTGTTTTATTATTCATTCAAAATAATTCCTAGTTTAAAAACATGGCTAAAACATGCTAACCTCCATCGATCCATCGATGTTAAGTTCATCTTCGATAGTGCACGTTTAGGTTTGTCCAGCTCCGCAAATATTCTCCAAACAGCAGATGTCGCCCTTCGAGTTGTCTTCTTGCTGTTCTTGCCATGTTTTTAGCTATGTTTTCGCCTAGTTCTTACTCTTGAAACGAGTGAAATGTCCGCCATTTTTCAAGTTCACAATCAAAACAACTCAACCTCGTCCCCGGGTCTTCTCGGTTAACGGTGCCTTAACCTACACGAACGCTGCATTTTTGACGTCATTTCCTCGTTAAACACAAAATTCATCCAAATTTGGTCATCAGAAACTGGTTATTGTGAATTATGCGTGTGCTTTTAGCCAATCCGAATCGGGGAAATATTTTGAATGAATAATAATCATATTTAATTTCAGACAGCGTTTAAATGGGAAGCAGCATTCCAGTATATGAAAGGGGCACCAATTGTCAATAAAAGGTCTACGAAAGAGGCACTTTTTCTGTCAAAAATGTTATATAAAAGGGTAAGGGGTTGGACCTCGGGGATGAGCCTCCCTGTATAAAACTTTGTTGAGTACCCCCCAGGGATGTATTTTGACCGCTGCTGATCAACAGTGGCCACGAACACGTTTTCCCCATTACCTCTGATTTAACTGAAATAGCGCTGATGCATAAGCTCTATAGGTTTATCGCCAGTGGGGTCGGTTAGTTTGGCTGCTGTTGCAGCTGCATAATTCTTGTTTGTTTGATACCTCAAATGTGGCTGTTCAGCTAGGATTGCTTCTTGAATCACTTGAGCAACTTCATCTGGAGTCTGAACTACTGTGGTAAAGGCTGTGCTTATCTTCTTGGTCAGATTCTCCAGTAGTTGCTTAGTTTCATCATCTATGGGAGGGCTGTCCGCTTCTTTGTCAACTCTGCGCAGATTGGCCCCAAATGAGGTTGCAACTGGTCCTGGCTCAATTAAAGAGCATCTTTTAATTTGAATAAAATGGCAATAGTTAGGGTTATTTTGATAAACAATATTAGTAAAATTCAACTAGTGGTCTATTATCAATGCTGCATTCTGATTGGTAGTGATAGGTTGAGCTACTACTAGGCTATTTTTGGCAGCAAAAAAGGGTTAAAGTCTAGCTTTAACTAGCTAAAAATTTTTTTATTCTCAATATTTTTGACCAACTAGTTGGACTGTACTAAAAAAATTATTCCTCTCACTCTCATGGCCTCTGAGTCAATAGCCCATTCAGCCTTCGGCCTCATGGGCTATCGACTCAGAGCCCATTCTGGCTCCAGGAATAATTGTTAAATAGAGTCTCCCTAGTTCCACTCTGAAACTGGTTCTAAGATATATGGGTAAGTGATTTTTTGGGGGTTGGGGGGAAGGACTTCCACATGAAAGGGGTGGGGATGCTCATTATCTCACTTAGGGGTGTAAATTTTGGATTTTGGTCTCACTTGGGGTATTCTGGGCAAACGCCAATATTATTTAGCTGTAAAGATCTCTTTTAGGGTTTCATGAGAAGAAATATTAAAAATTGTATTTTCAATTCGTTTTATTTAGTACTTGATTCAAGTAATCAAAGTTTAAAATAGTCTCTTTTAGGGATCAAAAGAGGGTTGGGGCTCCATTCAAAAATTCAGATGAGCATCCCTAACTCTTTCATGTGGGAGTCAGATACTTCTTGGCCTTTCTGACTCTTGAGCAGGGTATAACCACTTTGAAGCTCAGGGTCATGTGCCAAAATTGAGAGATAACCCTGAAAATCCCACAAAATAGCTAGTAGATCTTGCAGCAATTTTCAGGCTTTAAACTCACAACAGTACCATTTTATGGTGATTTAAAGTACCAAGAAAATATTTCATATACATGTATCAATAGCTGAGGAAAAGGCATTGGATTGCAAACTTAGTGGTCCAGCATTTCTTTCCATAAAAACCCTTAACGTTTTGCAGACATTCCTGCCGAAAAATTTTAGTATTATTTATGTGCCAATCACCTCAAAATTGGGATTCCAGGTAACTTTCTCACATGCTCTTTCCATCTTTAGTTTTTTTCAAGTTCTGCATTAAGCCAGTCACGTGACTGGTAACTGTAAAAGGGCTATTAAAACTGGCAGCCTTTTGCTTTGATAGAGAGATTTCAGTTATTTTGCTTTAGTTTATATAAAATGGGAAACAGGGGAAATTCTTCCTAGAATCCCTCTTTGATTCAGTTTGGTGTACTGCTGTACTTGCTCTGACACACAACTTCGGAACTTTCTTTTAGTGAAATCCACATTCTTATTGTAATTTTTAATTTAAGCATGTAGGTCTGCAATTTTTGCCTGGCAAAAAGTTGCAAGTTATCATTTAATAATGCTTTGTCTGGAATGGCACTTTCCTTGCAGACTCGGAACTGGCTTTTTTGATTTTCATAACTTCGACCCTTAAAAGGCTTTCTAATAAGCCAACTCTTTCATGTGTCAAGGTGAAGATATAAAGGAGGTTTAAATTCAAACAAAATTTAATCAACTTGCTTCCATATGTTGGCAGGTTTTTTGGCTGCTCAATTATGAATAAATTACATTATCATGAGACTGGAAATAAAACAAAACATATAATACAGTAGCCGAGACCTTGAATGAAAGAAGAAGCTGATTTTAACCTGTAACTGAAAAATTAAAGACTTGGTTGAATCTACCTACTTCACATTAAATGTTTTCAGCATTGGGGCCAGTGACTCAACAAGTCCTTCCACTGCAAACTTTGAAGCACAGTACACACCGTTAAACGGCACTCCACTGATTCCTCCCACACTGGTCACACAGATAATGTGACCATCTCTTTTGGACTTCATACATGGGAGGACAGCTTTAGTGAGCCGTAACACTCCAAAGAAATTAGTTTCGAAAACACTCCTTGACACCTCCATTGTTTGAGTCTCCAAGGGGCCTAGCAAGCCTACTCCGGCATTGTTAACTAGAAAGGACAAGATCAATACTGCTTGCATGAGCTTCTTGCAATAATCAGCGCCAGCTTTGTACTGCTAACAATGGGATAAGAAACTAATTTATTAAAGTTGTGACTGTGAATAAGGCCTTAAGTACCTCCTGATCTAAAATCAAATTCTCCCTTTGATTAATGATATGCAAGTCAAATTGGGAGCCCAGGGGGTACTCAACAAATGTTTGTACAAGGAGGGTCTGCCCCAGGGTCCAACCCCTTACCCTTTTATGTACCATTTTTCATGATAAGGTACCCTTTTGTATACCTTCTAATGACAAATGGTACCCCTTCTATATACCTTGTTTAGAACTTTGCACCCCTTTTAGCTGCTGTAAATGCACTCTCTTAAATAGGAATCAATCACAAAAATATTCTTGATTTTTTTAAAGCCACAAAAGTCATCTGTTAGCCCCTTTGAGCTCTTTTACTGACCCAAATGACAGATTGCCCTACCCTTTTATATATACTTCAACTAGTGAAATCCCTTTATACCCTTTCATATACCTGAAGCCTGAAAAAGGTACCCCTTTCAGGTGAAGCCTCCCCGTACCCGTGTACTGTAGGCCATCATAGGGAGTACCCCCCTCCTCTGGGATTGGGAGGGTAATCTAGTACAAGTTTGGGGTGTCATTACAGGCACCTCTTAAGGGGAGGGACCGCTTATTACAGGCAATCTCTTAGAGGCAGTTTTAAAATTAATAAAAAACCTTGGAGGATATAATTCTCTGTATAGTTTTGGTCATAATTTATACCTTAAGATATGGGTGGATTTACATGTAGCAGGGCAAAGGAGTCGCAGTAGCCTGCAAGTACAGCAGTCTCTCCCAGCTCCTTGTAAAAAGGGACATTTTGCAGGAAATACATCTGCACCTCAGTGACAGTGGACCTGCTTGTGCAGGGCTGTCATTAGTAGCTGGCAGCTGGCTTTTTTAGCCAACTACTGCCATCCATGGCATTACCTTTGGTTGGAAAATGAGTCTAACATGGCAAATATAGGAGAATTTGGGGGATGAATGACTGCTGCTGCCTACTTTCCCTTAAAGACTAGCTCCTTAATAGCAAAGATGTCGCAATATCTCCAAGGTCATTCCCAAGATTTTTGAAGGCATTCTGAAGAGTTTCAAAGTTCTCAAGGAAATGATTATGCTGTTAATTGGACAGAGAGTGCTAGCTAGTGCGACATCAATGTTTCCTATCCTCATGTGTGAGACTCATCCCTACGGCAAAAGATTACGAAGGAGGGATTTGTAAAATCTTGAACCTTGAACAAGCAGGTGATTAAATAACAGGCAACTTGAAATACAAATTTATTTGTGAAGCCTCTTCACGAAACGAATTCGTGTAACTAAGAACTGAATGATGTGGTTGAGGATGGGGGAGGGAGGGATTGGTCACCCTCCGGACACACCCCAAGAACATAATCCACGTACACTGATGATACAGTGTATTTTTGGTCTCAAGCAGAAACGTGGAAATAATCTAGAGTTCATTCGTCATTCTTAATACTTTCAGTTTCAAGACTAAAATTTTTTAATGCCCTCAGTACTTGCTCTGACTCAAGAATTTCTCCATGACTCTGCGGAGAAGGGTTTATTTTGTGTACCATTAATAGAACGTAAAAATTAACTGGAATATAGAAACCTTACTGAGAATATCGATCCGCTCATGTGTGGACAACAAGTCTTGCACCACTCCGTCGACGGACTCATCGGAGCAAACATCCATCGCTTTGATGATGAGTGTGTCACCGAGAAAATCCTTTCCCTTTTCTTCAAGCTCGCCTTTTTTTGCAAGATTTCGAAGGGTTGCATACACTTTGAAGCGCTTTTCTTTGTCGCTAGCTAGCAAGAGAGCTGTATATAGCCCTATGCCTGTGGAACAGCCCGTCACAAGAACAACCTTCGGCGCCATGTTGTGATTTGACACCTTGTCCAGTGGTCGGCATTATATTCTACCCACCAAAACCACATCGATCGAGAGGGACTGAGATTGAATTTTGAATAACTTAAAAGTCGTAACCGAAGAATCTCGGAAAATGTACGGATCAGGGATGATATGCACGAACAACCCGACATCCGAACACTAGATCGGAGGTTCTAACCACTGAACCACCAGGGCTCTAGCGTTAGTGAAGTCGGAATTCTACTATACCAGCAGAGTGTAGTACACTTCTGTACTGGGAGCTGAAAGAAAGCGAAAGGCTCGAGAAAGGCTGCGTCTAGGCATTTGCCGATTGTGCTTGTAAAAGTGGCATATTATGCTAGTGGCAGTGCTCGTTTTTTGCCCAAATTATGCTCAAATTATGCTCGCTTTTCAAAATTATGCTACTTTTTTAAAAAATTATTCTGTGCACAAACTTCACAACTCACAAGACAAGTTTGAAAATGTATTTTATTAACCCTGGCCAGACGTTCTGGGCCCGGTTGTTCAAAACCTGGGTACCTTTATCCGGTGGTTGGGCCTATACGGCGAATAAATCTGCTATCCAGCGGATAGTTATCCAGCGAACAAAAGTAGGTTGCACAAAGCCTGGATAGTGTGGTGGATTCGAGGCGTCTGCAAGTTGTGCAGGCTTTGGTCTATCCTCTCTGTTCTCGCAACCTTGTAAACTATCTGGATGTAAGTTCACTGCACTTGACTGGTTTAGCGTGGCGGCCGCCATTTTGAAACGAGCACTGGGAGAAAGACTAAGGAGTCTGGGACCGAGACACAGACTTCCGGTTCCGTTTCATCGAACTCCCGCGGTATCTCAACACAAGTAAAAAAAAATCGAAAAATAGGAGTGGAAGCAACTGTTAATAGTAATCTATCGTTTTTAGTAGCTGAGATCTTCGTTTTCTTGAATTATTCTAAAATTGTGCTATTAAGACAAGAAAATATACGGATTATGCTAGCAGTGCTACTTTTGGAAAAAGGGCAAAAATTATGCTCAATTCCTCAGATTATGCCAAAAATTATGCTAGCACAATCGGCAAGAGCCTAGCTGCGTCCATTTCACAGTTGTGGGGGTGCAGAAAATATATATCAGGGGGGTACAGTTTCATGCATAATGACTGAGATGTTAGTAAGATGTTGGAAATGAGCAAAGCGGGCGAGAACGAATCGCCAAGCTCGCTGGTAAGTGCTCGTTCTTTCTCACGCGGAGAAAAATCAAGAACAACCTCTGGAACCAGGGTAGCTAGGTGTAAATTGCAGCGAGCTTTATATTCCCCCACCCCGCAAGAAGAGGATTCTTTCCGGCATGGATTTTATCGACTATATTGACTTCCAAAATTATTTATGATTGATTTCCAAAATTCTAAATTTGTAAGACTTATTTCTAAATGTACATTCACAATGGCGATTTTCGCTGCCCCCAATCATAATTACAATCACAAGCAAGGAACCTTGAAACACAGAAACACACAGAACGGATCGAAATCCACCAATTACAAATCACAAACCTTGACCTTTTGAACCCGTTAAAGTAAAGTTTTGTTTCCTAAGAGTTCCGTTAAGATAATTGACGGCAGCGAAAAACGCAATCGTCAGTTGGCTTTTGAACTTCAGAATTCGCATGTTTGTGAAAAGCGCAGTAATAGATGAATCTTAGATACACACCAATGTTCCCAAAATCTTTGTCCACTTTGAAGCAGGAAAACTTGATCGTCTATCTCGTTTCAAACTCTGCGATGAGTTAATAAACCTCTTGGACGGAAGAAACATATCCAAAATTCTCAGCAATATTTTCCTATCGAATGTGGGTTCGCAACTTAAAATTCCCGCCATGATCTTCCTGTTTGTTTCCCGGGAATGATGGGATTTGGAAGGTCGCGAGTTCGATTCTCGCCAGGGACAGGAAAATTTTCGTTGCCCCGGACGAGCATGGGGCGCGATCCATTAAACCAAAATTTCCGGAAATTTCGGTCCAAAACTCAATGGATCGGTTCGGTTCAACCGGAAAAATTTCGAAAAAACGGGTCCACCTTTTGAGGTGGACCACTTTTCCCGGTCGGACCGGTTGGAATTTTGGTTGAATGGATCGCGCCCATGGTTTCTCCTAAGTTCTTCCAAGTGAAAATGTTCACTGGAAGTGTAAGTGTGCTGCTCACAAGTGCACATTAAAAATAATAATAATAATGATAATAATAATATTTATAATAATAACAAGACTTTTAATAATAAAAGTAAAAAAATAAAATATTTTGTATGTGTAAACAATAACAACTTATATAAAAACCATGATTAAAATTTTCATTGTTTCAATAATTATTATGTTTCATGAGTATGGTCTTAAAAAGTCCGTCAGTACTTTGCAGAAGCGTAACTATGCGCCTAAAAAAATTAAAACCCTTGCCTCTTTGGAGATTTAAGAATGGTTATAGGTAAGGGCTCATATGTGCGGTCTGGACAGGTCGAGTGGTTTTGGTGCATGTAGACTTCAACATCCACCAAAACCACCAACAGTGTTCGGGGCTAGATGTGTATCACGTAGCCCCATGAAATATCTGATACATGTTTTAAAAATTCATGTACAATATTTGCCAAAATACAGTTATACTCGTTATATTCATCCTTTGTTGGCGAGAACGCTATCTCCTAAATATAATAAAGCTCAAAGCAAAAGAAACGCGAATCCCCGAGAGGCGAATACATCAAAACATCGTAGGCATCTTTCTTTGGTATAACATGTCACAAGGTGTCCAAAATTCAATCTCAGTCCCTCTCGATCGATGTGTTTTTGGTGGGCAGAATATAATGCCGACCTTGTCCAGTAGTCACGCGACAACCCCGGCAGGTATTGTGGGTAGCTTTAAGTTCGCAGTAGCCACAAGGTGTAGGTGCTCCAAAATTACTTTAAAGTTGCCTGAAGTTGCTGGACTTTTCTCAAAAGCTGCTCAAAAGTTCCTCGTAAATATAAAAACAAATGACTGAAAAGTTCTTAAGAGGATACATTAAACGAGGCTTAAACAGTATGAGAAGACTTTGTAATTTCAATAAGGTGCTAAAAATTTAATCAAGTTACCCCCCAAATCAAAAGTTGTTCCAAATGGCAAAAGTTTCCAGATAGCTTCTCCAAATAGCAAACGTTGCAAAAAGCGGGGGCGAGGAACTTGTGGCTGAGGCTACTCCCCAATCTCCGCCGGGGAGGGGAGCCCGGGAGGGGGGCCGCGGAGGGGACTTAAAAGAAATAAAACGAGGATGCTCGTCGTCTCGCTTAGGGGTAGACCTTGCATAATTTAGTATCGCTTACTGAAAATCTATATTTTTAGCCATTAAGGTATCACTTGAGGTTGTGCCAAATATCCACGTGAAAAAAGGAAAATCACGTCAGTATTTTGTTAGAGGGGGGTCTCCTTTATGCAGGGTCAAATAAAGCCTGGCCCACGTCTTCCTTTAGGACTTGTAGGAGTCTTTTTTTTTTCAAATTTTCGGACGGGGCGGGGCATCCCCGTTTTCTCTCCGACGACCTTTCCGGAAACTGGTTTTCTGCGATTTAAAGTTCTGGTTCCGGTTGTTCAAAAGTTGGACAGCGCTATCCACTGAATAAATCGCTATCCAGTGGATAAGTATTAGGGACATCAATTGCGTTATCCACTGGACAGAGATTTATCAGTGGATAGCCTTATCCACCATTAGAACAACTGGGCCCAGAAGATGAAAGTATAGATAAGTCTCTCAGGAGAGACGCAACACATTTTAAGTAAGGTAGGCTGTTTTTTATTGAAATCCTTCCATTTTCGTAGGTTAAGGAAACGATAGTTTTTTTCCCATACAAATCCTTATATTTCGAATGTTACACAACAATGCCGATGTTCGCCGATGCTCATATTTCGAGCTTGGGCTACCTGTGATGAAACATACTTTAGAAACCATTGTCATTTGCAACATTCAATCAGTTCTGTACAATATGCGTAAACATAAACGTATAAAAAGTTTATTTTTTCATGTATCACTAATAAATAAAAATTAATTGTATTCTTGAAAGAATACAATATATAACGGTCTTTATAATTACTATTACCACGGGTAATTATATTAGAAGTCAGTAAATATATCTCGAGGTATTATATAAGGAGCCGGTTATCGACTCCTGGGGGCCCTTTCTTGAGTGTCCCGGTAACGGTTCGGGTACGGAAAACTGTTTTATGTTTGTCGTGTTTGCATTCAAGATTAAATTTTCACCAATTTTGAAAATGATACAATAAAATTATCATTTATCAGTTAACGAAGCAAAAATGACTAGTTTGTGCGCTAGGAATTGTGCTAATATTCTAGGTTTTGATTTGTTCGGGCCCAGAAAGTTACTGGACCTTTCAAGGAACGGGCCCTGGTTATATCTAGCTTAAAAACAGCCAAAAGAGTTGCTGTCAATAAATAGTATGTGCAATTATTCTTTAGTTTAAGGTACCTTGATATTATTTATCTAAAGCACCACAGTTACACACATCAACAAATTGCAACAGGTTGTTTTCATTGACTTGGTTTTCGAAAAAGGCCAGGACGCAAATTAGATTTGCTACAAGTCGTCCTCACGCTGTAAACCGAGCGGAGCGCACTTTTAATAAGAGGGAAAACTTTTGGGAAAGTCTAGGATCCTGTCAATGTCAGGAAATTCCAGCCGTCAGTATTTTTCCAAGATTATTGACGTATATTTTATGACAAGCACTGTCAGCGTTACGGAACACACTTAAACCATGACGTCCATCCGTAGCAACAGACAACAGGAAACAGTTTCAATGTATAAATACAGTCTTCTGTGACAAAACTGGACCATTTCTTTAAAATTCAATTGATGCAAAGGCACGTTTTAGCTGTTTTCAAAAGTTAGCAAGTAAAGTGATATAGACCCTTTAAGTTACCAGAATCTTTCACTGTGGGCGTGCTCCTAAATGGGACAGAAGGGAGTTGGGATCACTCAGGCAGCTTCGAAAAATCAATGCCACAATGCAAGCTACAATTGAGCAAAACACCACCAACAACAACGACAACAAAACAAGATTTTTATCTTGTTGCGCAGGCGCTGTGCGTGATCTTTCCTCATGGGTGGTTGGAAATGTGCGTCGTAGTAGATTAATGAGAAATCTTCGTTAGATTGACAGTAATGCCGTGCTAAGAATTGAGAGTAGTCATGTTGCTTGTTTCAATGGGTTGTCACAAGTTCCAACGGAACAGAGGTACAGTCGACTCCCGATAACTCGAACTGTGTTCGGTTTCCCTTGAAGGTTCGAGTTATCGGGAGTCGACTGTACGCTCATTAATATGCAGCTTATTAGAATCCACGTTCCTCACATTTTTAAGGACTCTATGTACAATTCACTCTTCATATCGGACGTTATTATATTTAACCGTATGTACTAAGGATTACTGCTTCAATGAGGCGTGCGGTACACTCCTTGTAGATTACCGCGAGATCTTCGTTAGCGTGACAGTACTGTCCTGCTCACAATCCAACATCACGATAGAAACACGAGTCTTCATGTTACTAGTCTCACTGAAGTGTGACACAGTACTCTTCTTGTGTTTGTTCGCCGGAATCCACTCGGCCTTGTAAAAGAAAAACAAGCGTTACAAATTTTACCAAATTAAAACCATGCACGAAAACTGGCTAAACTAAGCAAAGTCTTCTGTAGCGGTTCAAGTTTATCTTTCCCTGTCCCGTTTAAAGATAACTTTATCAGGAGCCGTTCCGTGCCACTCTTTTGTTTAAAAGAATGGTAAAAAAGAGTTTCAGCGAGTAACAAAGAAAACTACAATCTTGGACAAAAAAGCCGTGTAACATTTCGACCGCACGTTCCTCTCCCCAGTTCAAGGTTGGAAAAATGGTGCGTTTAGGTCCTTGCGTGGCTTAATCCCTGATTTTGAGAGGAAGAGGGTGATGGGAGGATTACTTTTTCATTAGGTTTTGTTCAAGATTCCAGTCTTCAAAGTAGACGAAAAATTTTGACTCCTTTGTTTGTTTTTCGAATTTGTTTTTCTTTATCTTCGACACGTTTTCAGGTACGCACATGCGCAGTGGCGTACAGTTAGCTACACGCATGAATTCTGTTGGTTGGAGTCACAGGTCGTCATCGTGAAAATGACTCGTTTCAAACATGGTCCAGGCCCCTTCGCATCAGCCCTTGTTGTTAATTAGTATGTTATTTCAGAGGGGAGAGGGGGGCTGGGACCGGGATGATCACCGAGCTCGATCGCGAGAAGCTAACTACTCATAGGGATATGGTAAGCCCAATAAACTATTTATGAGGACTGGGGGTATTCAAATCGATTATTTTCAGCCATCCAATTAAAATTTCAGGATTGTCCTCATTTCGTACTGTGGTTTTGTTTATGACGCTGTGCAAAGTTCCCTGCAAACGTTTCAATGTCATTTTTGCTTAATATTTTGTGCTGATTGAGTTAAGTGTCTCTCAATAGGGGTCTACTCATGAATAAATATTTTTCTTACTCTTTTATCGCTCATATGAAGAAAATAAATAGACTTTGCTACGGTGCTGCAAGATGGGTGAGTTCCAAAACAGTGCAGTCCACCGAGTCTTACAAGTAGGTGGATTTAACGACCCCACTGACTATGAGTGAGTTCGAATGAGTTATGAAATTATACCGTGCAATGATCTTTTAGTCTACTATCAGAAATATTCTATTTCTTTCCCTAATGTTGACATCGAACAACCCAAAAATAAATTTAAGATTACGAGGAGGGAAAAAGTACGGTGTAATAAAGTAGTTTGGTTTATGTGCGACACAACTCAATAACATCACGCTAAAGGTCAAAATTTTCGTATTTATTAAAAGGGCAGAAGGTGGCTTCGCTAGATTTTTTTGTCAAATTTTACAAAAACAAGTCTATTGTTACTCTTAAAAATTCTACTAATTAACATTATTCCCTGTACCTAATGTCTGAGGCCTTCCAAGGGGTGGAAGCGATAGGCGACATGGCTCCGAAAACTTGCGACAATCTTCTCAGAAACCACCGAAAACCGACAGAAAAGGAGGAAAGAATTCTGACAGCGACAATTCATTTTTTAAATGGCGAAAGCGACATTTGATGTCTTTTACATTTTGGCTGTTTGACAGTTAAATCACAATCTCTCGTCCGTTTTTCCACGCATTTTCTGTTATTTTCTTTGAACCGTTTTCTAATGTTGGCATTATTGAAGAACAGTATATCCAGGGAGGAAGGTTAATAACAATTTTCTTTTCAGGCGCTATATTTAAAACTGAGTATCATAAAAATTTATGCTGAACCGAAGGGACAATTTCTTCTTGGCTAAATTACGACAGCGACATTTTTTCCTAATCTACAAGGCGACAGGCAGTCTCAGAAATGACCAACAAAGTGACAGCCTTCCCCCTCCCCTTCGAAAGGCCTCATGTCTTTGCCAGCAGTTTTCTTTTCGGATGAACTTTTAATAGACAACTATAAATAGAAAAAGACTTCGAAAAACTTTGCTAAGTCATTAAGATCAATAGACTGGCTACAGTCGCGTTCTATGAGTTTTAAGGAATATTCTCGTTTGAAATGAACTTATTCCAACATTATCAAAGGAACAAATTAAAGTGAGTATATCTCAAGACTTTTGTGTTTTGCTTTCATGCAGGAAACCTTTAAACTAGCTGCTACAAAGAGAACTAAAAAAACACTTAACGCAAAACCGTAAGCTCAGTTGCTGGTCACGTTGACAGCGATTTGCATGGTTGTCTTGCTTTTCGTTTACCATCAAAAAGAAGAGATCTTAAAAATAGCTTGGTGTAGCCTAAAAATCCACCGTTGCGAAAGCGTCACCAGTAGCCTACAAAGCAGGCGTTATGTTTTCGCGTTTTTCAGGCGGGCAAAGGCAAGTGCGAAGAAGGCTCGAAGCGCTAGTCACGCGCTATGATGAAAAGCGTGGAAAAATAGCCTTCTCCCGCCTCGCTTGCCTCGCGCTCGCCTGAAAAACGCGTAAAAATAGCGCCTGACGTTCTGCAGGCTGCGCCACTAAAGTTTAACCTGAACGGAGGGAAGGGGCGAAATATCACTCAGTGTGCCCTTTTTTCTCTTTAAAATGACATTTTGAGTCTGGCAAGCACTCAAACGTTGCCTCCTTGACAGTGGTTTCGCGCGGTGCTATGTTTTCTTTTACTTTGGATTTTCTGATATATTTTTCATTTTATTCTTAGTAAAATGGTCTTAGTGCTTCTAGAAGTAAATCTAAGAGCGTCTCAGATGAGAGTAGAATTATCCACAGTGCTACGGCGGAAGAGGAAAACAGGGCAACAAAGATGAGGAATTCCAAAGGGTACCACATGTAAGCCTACAACCATGTGTCCTGCAAACAACTTCCTATCACCTACAAAGAAAGTGAGAGACAGCTTTATTAGAGCGTCGATAATTAAGGACTAAGTGCAGCAGAAGGACAGCAGCTTAATAGTATGGCATTTACAAGTTAAACAGCTCAGCTATTAAGGTGCAGTCAAGTACACAACAGAGAGACAAACTGAACATGCGCAATACTTTAATTATTACGGTGCAGTTAAGGTGCATCAAGGTAGACGAAGGAAAGACAAACTGCACATGCTTACTACTTCAATTATTAAGGTGCAGCCAAGTAGACGAAGTAGAAACATACTGAACATGCGCATTGTTTTTATTATTACGGGGGAGAGAAGTAGACGAAGGAGAAACAAACTGAACATGCGTACTGCTTTAATTATTATAGTGCTGCCTAGTAGACGACGAAAAGACAAACTGAACACGCGTACTATTATTAAGGTGCACCAAGTAGACGAAGTAGAAACAAACTGAACATGCGTACTGTTTTAATTATTATTACAGTGCTGTCTAGTAGACGACGAAGAGATAACTGAACATGCGCACTACTTTGATTAAGTAACTTCCGGAACAAGAATGATTCTGCTATTTCCGAGCAATATTGAAAAACAAACAAACAAACAATTACAAATTTAACTTAATAGGGTGTTGAACCCACGATTAGCGATAGTCTTTCAAGTGTGATTGAAGGCTCGAGTGTACTTCGGGAAAAAATGAATATCCTTGTTGTTATTAAAGACGCTTCCAAGATTTGAGGGTGAAGTCACTTTCAGTGGCATGCAAATTTAAGAGCAGCTGGCATTTTTGTGATACAGATTTACACTTAGTGATTCGTGAAAGTCAGAACGTCACAAATTGTCTTCGGGCTCGCCTTCCTCACTGTCTCGTAACCCACGACGACGCTTGCCGAAGTGTGCCTAACAAATCCCTCAAATAATAAGGAAAAGTACCAATATGACAATGGAAAAGTGCGTTTGATCGCCTCTTATCTTGTCCGTTAAACGTAAAAAGTATTTAAACGTGCAATACTGATTAGATTCCTTCGACTGAATGCTTTATTGAGTTTGCATAAGATTTAGTGATGAGGACAACTCTATTAATGAGTGCAAGCTGTGTACCGGGTTCATCTAAGTGCCGATTATATTAATGGTGTTTCAGTGATAGTACCTGAAATCTGTGCAGCTATTCTCCTCGGGTAAAATTGCATTAAAGACAACACTGCTGCGCCTCGTGCGATGAGCCTTGACAGAAACAACCTCGTATTACAGGCAAGCAGTGACGAAAGGGATTATAAGGTTAAAGTTAAGGAGTTCCGAGCTGGAATTTCATCTTTGTTAGCCATTTAAGAGTGAACCATTTTGAATCACTCGATAAAAGCAGGACACCAAGAATAGGTCGCAAGATTTGATAACAAAAAACTTCATATTTTCATATGGCTGCTGAAAAGAAGTAGCGTTAAAAAAGAAAGATTCAAAGAAAACATCAACAAAAGAGAAACAAAGGCCGCGAAAAAAGAGGAAAGAGAAAGAGAAAGAAAATGAGAACATCCAATAAGCCAACATCATGGCCGTGGATTAAGTTTTCAGGCAGATGTTGATTGTCATCCGAACAAACATTAGTACCTTATGGGTACCTTCTCTAGATTATTAAAAAGCTTAAGGCAACAAGCTATCAGACAAAGGAAGAAGCCATCATTACATCTAATTGATTTATTTCCGTTAGAGAACCGTCATTATTATAAATGTATAGAAAATACAAGATGTATTCAGCTTCCGCTTTAATTATAATGCTTCTTAAAGTGATATTTGATGTGGACAAAGTGTCTAAAATACGAAATATTTGTTTACTCCCTATCAATATTATATTTATATCTCTACAATTCAATTTTAACATAGATACTACTCATTTTAAAACTATCATGTCCTTAAAACGCCAGCCACCACACCAGCTACGTAAATGTCCAAAAATATCCATAAGCCCCAAATGGGACTTGCATTGGGATCTCCCTCAAATGACGTTATAGCTTCTTATTTCTAAATCTACGCTTCACAAGATCAAGTGTAGCTTGAATGGGTGTTTTAACAAAATCACACTCATAAAAGGACTACAAATGCTAGCAGATTCATTTTTCATTCACTGGTTGGTTATCTTGAGCAATCTGTGTTTGCTACTCCGAGAGGTCGATCATGGATACGTCGCTTTCCGTGGACTGCGGATCCGCAGTATCCCAACTCATAGCCCTTACGTACGAGGTAACTACCACCCCCGTGCTCTGCTCACCCTCGATGGCCTGAAAACACATAATACTCAATATGAACACAAATTTACTACAGTAGCAGTAAATGCATACTGAACCATGGCCCAGGTGTTGAAAAGCAGGGTATAATGCAAACGTATTTAACAAATTGACAACAATTTTCCATCGTGTTTAACAATTCACTCACAGCCTCCGAGTTTCTTGTCTAAAAGCGTTCTCGCTGTTTATCTTTATGAAAAGTCAACCTAAAGTGTGTAATAGAATAATTCACGTGAAGTTGTAGTGTTCGTCAACATTTGACAGTCATAATGGCTACGCCTGCTTTGAAGAACAAGGCCCCGGCTTCTCACAGAGCGGAAATTCAATCAGGAAAAAATACTGGTGCAACATTAGAGTATAATTAATATTCAAAGATTGACCAATATTACACAATTCGTAAAAAATACTGGAATTAAACAAAACTACAAGAATGTATGCATCGGTGCTCAGTGGTGATTCTCTCATCATGCTCTCATCATACACTCATGGACGATTATGCAAACAAGGACTTAAAAAGATGCCGTAAAATCAGCTGGTAGAGTAACATAAAGACCAATTGGCTTAACAGCTTCCATTTGCACAGTCAGCATGATAATTGATCCACAGCTACCACAAGTAGCAGGCGGAGCACATCTCAGGCAGACTCCAGGGTCAAATCATTTGGAAAAGGGAGTGCAAAGAGTCTATAGCCTGTATTTATTGCTTTAACACTACTTAAGGTGCATTTATTGGATAATAAGCTTGAACTTAGATAAGAAGCTGCGACAAAACTCTACCTTTTTGACGATGAAGTCGAAGACGTTGTCCACGCAGAAGAATTTGGGCACGCTCGACGAACGTTGTACGACGACTACGATTCGGCGAAGATTCAAAACTCGAAAAATGGGACCATTTGTTAAGTTTAGATGACGGCATTTCTTGACTCTTCGTGCGGTACAGACGGGTTATTTAAAGCGGGAAACAATTTATATTAACCTTGTTCGACTTTTAACTCTAACACTTAAAAAACAATAACTGATAACAACACGAACGACTCACAGCACATTACGACTCAGTAAACTTTAACCACAAACTCAAACCTTCGAATAACCGGCCTTATTGAAAAAAGTACTTCAAAAAATTATTTCTTATGTACGACAATTAAACCACATGTATAAAAGGATGGAATGAGTTTAAAATGCATATTGCAGAACACAATGAACCGCATAAAGGAAAGTGAAGCTTTTCGTGTAGGATTTATACTGACATACTCAGAAGTTAGTGGCAAGATCAATCAAGGTACTACTGTTAAACACATCTTATTACAGTAACAGCTATCTTCACGCGCGTAAGGACTGATGGGATAACAGCAATGACACGTGATTTCTCGGGGGCGGGGGCAGCTGTTGAAGACGATCTTGGCATGCTACGGGTGAAGGTGGCCACATGCAACAACGATAGCCTGCAGTAGAGGTGTTTTTTGCATTTTTTAGGTGAGCGCAGGCGTGAATCACTCTTTCTCGTCTTGTACTTACCTACGCTCGCCTGACAAACGCAAAAAGGAAAAGAAATCGTAGAAATCTTGCAGACCACGTGTCATTGATCTTATCCCATAAACACCTACGTACTTGCAAAGACGACCGGTATTGTGAATTAGGTCTATTGTTCAGTCCTCAGTTGTTTAAAAGGTAGACAACACTATCCACCGGATTAATCTCTATCCAGTGGGTAAGTGTTACGCAAACAATTGTGTTATCCACTAGATAGAGATTTATCCAGTGGGCACTGGACAGTACTATCCAACTTTGAACAACCGAGGCCTGGCCTTAAAGATTTTACGTAGTTATTTGGTAACTACGGTCCTTTGTAAGAAAACGTGAAGTAAGCAGACACCTTTATGTACAAAAGGCAACTTGCAGTTTCTACCACTACCAGATTTGGGGTTTCTCTATATTTTCATATTGACATTATTATTAATTAAACCTCACTGGAATTATTCAATTTGAATTAGAAAGCAAACACAAGCTGAACGTTCTGCTGGTAAGTCAAATGACGTGGAATTATACCCCACTTACACAGGTTCGAATAAGTTAAATTGTTTCAAGGTAATTCGCACTGAAACGAACGACTTGGAGCTGGGTCAAAGTACTATAGGAGCGACCATTGGTACGAGAGGGAAATCCTCGTTTCCAGGGACACTCTCGTTTTCTGGGAACGAGGTTACGAGAGCAACGAAGGGAAGGAATGTCCACTAAGAGCCCCCCTAGAACTATACGCAACGATACTTAAATACGGACCATTAACACTACGATCTTCCAAATAGACCTTTCCAAGGTCGTTTTTTTTTTCCAACAGTTAGTGAAAATCCGTCGACAAAGATTAAAAGAGAGCCTAATGAAATAATGAGATTGCCAAGTTTCGCCAAAAAACGACAGACGTTTGTACTCTGGGGGGGGGGGTCATGCTCGCTTTAGACGCATCACTTTCAAACTTGACGCGTTTACCAATGTTAAGGCGCTCATTTCTGCGGTGTCGACAGATTTTTGTAAAATTATCCTCATTAATGACTTTTAAGAAAAAAACCGTGGAAGGGTCTATGAATTCTGCGCTAGCCTGCGAGCAAGCTTCCCGGGGCGCTCTGGCGGCGGGGCGGGAAAAGGAAGGAGAGCTTGCAACTACGTCTCTGGAATTGAATTCCACCTCCAATTTCCCTGTGGCTTGCCTTCGACTGAACTGTCAGATTTCCGCCAATCAGCGCGAAGCAGCAACGAACACGAATGTAAACAAACATTGAAAGGCACGTGCCAAGGATAATGACGTCATTACTAATGTCATCTCCGCCAATCATCATTTCGCATCGACTTTTTCGATGCAGATACTCAAATTTCAGAGACGTATTTTCAAACTGTCCTTCCTTTTCCAGCCCCGACGCCAGAGCGCCTCGGAGAGCTTGCACGTAGGCTAATTCTGAGCAACAATAGCCTGTGCCAGGCGTTCAGATAGTGGAGTGCGATGTGAGGACAGAGAGCGGAAAAAATTAGGGAGAGAGGGAGGCTGGAGAGTTTGCTCTCACCCCCTACCCCACCCCTTCGCCTTTTTTACTGCTCTTATTTTTTGCGTCTTCCCCACAATATGAACGACTGGAACAGGCTAGAGCAACAACTCAAAACATCACAGACTATAGTTTCTTCAGATGGGCTGTCATAGTTACCTGCACTTTCTGCGTCTCTGATGGATTAAAATGACGGCCGAACAACATGAATATAATGTCAGGCAGCAGGGACATCAGGATAAGTAAAAGAATTGCTAGCCACACCACTCCTTGAGAAAGAATTTGGAGGAACACCTTGTACATGTCTAACGATATTGTATCGCCAAAATTCAGCTGAATACCTTTCCTGTCAACAGAAAGGAGAACACAAAAGAAAAAAGCTTTGTTTTTATTCACTGAAGATGTCATCTGACTTGATTCACGAATAAGTAAGTAAGAGAGACCTTTTCGACGAGGAAGAGATTTTCTCAATACTAAGGAGTGCAGGTGCGTGAGCCAGCATGATTTTGGCGGGAAAACGTAGTAGCCGTCGTCATTGTAAGATGATGTTACACGGGATGATTCGCAAATACTATTTTTAACGCTACACAGCGTTGCAATGCTGCAAATCGCGACTTGTTGGTGTTGTAACCATTCGAAACAACGTCGCAACAATGTTGCAACGCTGTGTTGCGCTAAAAATCGCCGTTGCGAATCGTCTCGTGTAAAATCATCTTTACTATGAATTTTAGCGCTGGAGAAAGTCGTAGTGACTGAAACAAGATCTCAAATGTAAGAGGTTTTATCATTTTCGATCGTCATTTTGTGGTCGTCCTCGTCCTAGAATTTCAAGGTCCCAAAAAAACTGATATTTCTTTTCATTAGCGTGCTATCGTCTCTTTTGATGTCTTTTACGTTCCGGTTTAGAAACACACCTTCATAGCTTTAATTACCCTAACTTACGGGGCATATTTTCGCCTCTTTTCTCTTTTTTAACCCCCCCCCTCCCCTCAACCATTGTTCTAAATTCGCCGTGTTCTAAACAAGTGACTGAAAACTGGGTACGATATGCGACCACGACGCTTCTTGGGATCGTTGGAGGGGTAGCATGCAGGTTAACAGACATGGCACATTACAAGTGATAAGTTCCAAACTGCATTAATGGTTTCAGAAATGCAACATATCTTTACTATTACAAAGTTCTGCGTTCCCTTATGCACCAGGTATGAATTCTTCAGCCAAAATAACCTTAAGAGCGTCTTTAATAGGTCAGGTCAAAGGTCTGGGTTAGATTCCCGGTCAAGACTGAAATTTTTCAGGTTCTTTTTCAACCGCTTAGATTGTTTCTTTCACTGCAAGGATCTTACCCACTTTACATCTTTATCCGCAGTTCAAAATATGACTCATTTCGTCTACTTCAATTCATGACATTTCCACTATAGGGTATATTACAAACTCGTGACGGCCTGCTGTTCAGTTGGCTTAGACTACGAGTAGTCCCCCATTTGTCCTAAGGGATTTTTCTCACTCCCCACCGCGTCTCGCCTTTCTCGCGTGGGATGATTTTCACGCGCGCTCGCGTTTCGCTCGCTCTACTATCCCTGACGAAAAATGGGGTATTACT